GCCCCAGCACTTGGCAGGAAAAACAAAAGCCACGAAGGGGAAGTCTGAAGGTTCATTATACAAAGTTGTTGGGAGGTTCCAGAACATGGGAATGAAGCAAGTTTCAAGTAAAAAACATCCAAGGGACCAAGGAATATTGGAACGCGTATCACCCTTTGAACCAGCATGCATACCCATTCTCTTTCCCTCATCAGACCTGTCCATAAAAAAAGGAAGAAAAGAAAGGAATGAGATGGCTGAAAATGGGAGTTCTGAGGCAGCTGCGGGAAAGGGCCTTAAGCTCCCAAAAATCCCTAATTTTGTGCAAATGGGCAGAGTAGATTTTACCAAAATAGGATGATTGAAGGGATGAGGGAAGAAAGGAAGGGAAAGACTTGGCCAAATTGGGTAGAAGCCATTACGATTTCTCGGAAAAATGTAGCTTCCAATGCTTATAAAAAGAGGCATTTCCTACCTATCATCAACAACACACATCTAGAGAGCAAGCTCCATCTCTCACTCTGAAATCTCTGCAATTTCGTGCCCTACTCCTTCATCTCCTCCCATTTTCTTATGGCATGCAATTCCAGAGTCTGACATAGCTTTTGTCAAGCTGCTGGAAAGTTACCCAAAACAATCCACATTTCATAGAGCAAACTTCCTTTCTCACCTGCAACACCGAGCAAATTCGTACTCTGTTCAACCTCCTCTCCATTTTTCCCTCTTCTAGCAGGCTGCTCTAGCATTTGACAGAGTCATTGTCAAGCTGCTGGAAGTAATACTCAAGCCACCCATTCCTCTCTTTTTCCTTATTCTCAGCCAAACCTCTCTGCAAGCTCTTCATCTCCTACCTTAATGCCCCTTTTCCACCCCAGGAACACTTAGTTTTCTCTCCAGTGCCAAACTCATGACAATTTTGCTCCCATGCCATAAGCTTCTCATGTCAAGCTAGAAAATTTATCTGTAAGCTGTTGTTATTTTTGTTGGTGAAGGTAACCAATGTGTTTTCTAAGGCCCTACTATCCTTTCGAAGCATTCTTGGGGCTTGATCTTTGAACTCAGGCTCAAGGGGCAATTTCATCCATTTTGTCATTTACGGCAGCCTAGGCCCGTAGTAGCTACCGGAACGAAAAAGCCCATACACCCATGTTTGCTAAATATAAAATTTATTATGGGGTATTCAAGCACAAAAAGATTGTAATGAAGGGATTATAACAAGGGGGTCCTTAATAATCATTCAATCAAATGCTTAGTTATTATTGGGCGGTTGAATTGAACCCTCAACACACCCCCCTCATTATAAACCCTACTGGAATATGGTCATATAATATAACCAATTCATATATTATAAATGGGTGAACGACAAATTTATAATTTCTCTACTTTTAAATTATAAAATTAAAATACATACATATTATACGACGTAGATTGATTATATCTTGTGACCGTATTTCAATAAAACACAATAATTTATCACTTAAATAAATAAGGCTTATCAAAACCTCCGCATGGTAGAGTATGAATTGAATTCCTTCTGTCCGCATCACCCCTTCCATAATCTATCCCAAGAAAAATATAAGTCAATAAGAAAAGGAGGCAGAACAACCACACCATTCGGTCCAAATCATTCGGTCTTATACCGTATAATATTACAATACCATTAACCCTAAAAAAGTCTTAAGCCTACCCAAAATCAGCAGAGGATTATTCGGGGACATATTCGGGCTAGTTGAGCAAGGCTTGCATAAACCTTCACTAGGTTTACTGCAATCCCAATAAAATTCGTGATTGAAATCATGACCATCCATTTTTGTTTGTTTTAATATAAGTAACCTTGCACCATGTATGCATGCCATCCCGCCACCGTTTCCGGCTTCTAGGATCACATTCGATCCTCCAACTATAAAATTCATGTTTATCCCTTGCCTAATATATATGCATGTTTGGGTCGGTTAATTCTAATAATAATAATTTTCTAATAAAAGTAATTATAATAAGAATGAATATATGAGCAACACATATATATAATTATTTTATAATATATATCTATGATTACTTAAAAATAAATGGTTCGGATCATAAGATTACGTTATGAAATGAGTCCAAACGAGTGGTAAATGTCGTATTTTTTACTAACCGATTATATATATTTCATCTTCCTCCGCAACAGAAAGATGGATTTTTCACACACACATTATCAAGATGTTATAAAAATTCAAACTTGAAATTATTAATCTACAAGTCAAAGTCATTTTTCGTTGGACTAGACTCATAGCCGTATCTTTGTTTTAGAACAAATGGTAGCTAGCTATATGGAATCATGGATTGTCCTTGGACATGAGAGAGAGAGAGAGAGGTGTGACCTTGGTTATCATCGGCTTTATAATTAATTAAACTCGTTATTATATATTATAATTGATTAAACTCGTTATTATATATAAGTAATGATATCTATGTGTGCAAGCTAATCATCTATATGAATATCCGCTTCGGACAGATCAGAGAAAAGTACGTCAGAGGCCAACACCACCAATCCAAAAAATCCATCATCAATTCGTGAATTAATAAATTTTTTCGATGCCCTATCTACATAGACACACACACACCGTCCCAAAGCTTAAACAATTATTTTCTTTTTGGCTTGGAGATGTAACTAAAGTGGTCCCGGCAAGCTTAATTTGTCTCTCTGATTTTTTCCCTAATATGGTAAAATTTCTTAGGTTTATTTGTAATAAATGGGCAGGTGCTTCGAACTTAAGAAGCTTTAAGTTAGCTCTCATTAAATCATAGCAAGCTCAAAATTAAAAAGGGAGATTCACTATTATATTTAATATAGGAGCTCAAATTATAAAAAAAGGAAGCTTTAGTTTTAAACCATAATATAGTTTACTAATTTAGTAGAAAGAAATACAATTTAGTCTAATTAGCAAAAGGCCAAAAATCAAAATGTAACAAAACTACCATTACAAAATATGAAAATGACAACATATGCCATTTTCAGTATTTAGTTTTAAACCAAAGCTGAAAAACGACATCAAACCAAAACTGAACCAAAACGACATCAACTGAAACCAAAATTGAATCACAACCCATTTGCGCGACCTTTCAACTTCACCTCCAAAAACCTCCAGACCACCAACGATCATCGAAGACCACCAACCCATTCGCACGACCATCATCGAAGACCACCAACGATCGAAGCCGATTCTTCATCTCAGTTTCTGGTTTTGGTTTTCTGCATCTCAGTTTCTGGTTTTGGTTTTGGTTTTGGTTTTGGTTTTGGTTTTGGTTTTCTGCATCTAAGTTTCTGGTTTTGGTTTTCTGCAATTTTCTGCATCACAGTTTCTGGTTTTGGTTTTCTGCAGTTTTCTGCATCTCAGTTTCTGGTAGTTCTACTCTTCTCTTGCCCACTCAATTCCTCATATGGGTAGCATTTACTCTTCAAATTGGTGAGGTTGAAGGCGAAGGAAAGAACAAAAATCAAATTGTAATTAAATAAAAACTGCAATGCAGTTTCCAGTTTCTAAAAGTCCAATTTTGAGTTCCCTTTCTCTTGGGTAGTTCTACTCTTCTCTTGCCCACCCAATTCCTCATATGGGTAGCATTTACTCTTCAAATTGGTGAGGTTGAAGGCGAAGGAAAGAACAAAAATCAAATTGTAATTAAATAAAAACTACAATGCAGTTTCCAGTTTCTAAAAGTCCAACGAATCTGAGGGTATAATTGTCCAAAAGGGAGACCAATAAATATTTTAATAAAAAGGGTATAATTGTCTTTTCAGTGATTAATATAAGGTGGGCCAACGAATCTGAGCCTCCTCTTTGGCCTAATCCAAAATACATATTCTTTTATGGGTATTTAAACTCAAACCAAAATACCTAATGTCTCAAATCCAAATTACTAAAGTTAATTATGTCTAATTCCTAATTTTCCTTATAAAAAAAAAACCTTATATGAATGAACTTTAAAAACACACCCAAAGCCCATTTACAACATAACAAAAAGACTTTTAACTTCTTTTAAATTACAAAACTGCCATTGATTTCTTAAAACAAACCCAACCCAAAAACCTAATCAAAAAGCCCAAAACACTCAATAGGGCATCAAAGTAATTTAATAATGAAAATTAAATTCAATATGGCCAGTTGTCATTTTTTGAGTTTGTTTATAGAAATTAAATAGTGTAGGGTTTATTTATAGTTTTAATGCTAAATATGGGTATATGACAAAATATCTCTATTAAAAATATAGTAAATTTAGGGTTCATTAACTTTGCGTCAATAACCATTTGATTTGGTTGCATTCAATCATTACTTTGCTAAAATGGATTATAAATTCAAATATCGTGAACGAACTTTTATTAATTGTAAATAAAAAAAGATTGTCAATATTTTGCACACCAAATAACAAGGTTTAGATTTTTCAAACTTATGATGGAGTAATTGTTCGAAGTGGCGGTCACTCCTTAGAATTTCTGTACAAGAAAGACCACATAATAAATCGCATTATATAACAATGAAATGTATGAAATTTCCTTCATAAGATCCTGCTTTGACATTAGGCTACTTTGGACGCAAGAAGGCGATGGGATTTTTCCCCTCTAAAATCCTGTCCAACACCACGTGGCAGATCCTCATTGCTTGCGTTTTTTAAAACCCCAAAAAAGGTTGGCCCCACTATTAAATAACAAAAACGACGTAGTAAGAGCGAGCCGTACTACTTCACCGGCCTAGTTTGCCCCCAGACACCAAACCGATAAGCGTTAAATTATTCCCTTCGCAATATAATAATATGGCCTGATTCTGGACCGTTGGATGCGGAGACTGAACAGCCCAGATCTCGCAAAGAGCCTCTCTATAAAAAAGCCTTCCCTCGTTGTTTCCTACCTATCGAGAAATATTTAAAACTCTCTCTTTCTCTTTGTCTCTCTCTGTCCGTCTTCGGTATTAAATAAAGTCCTTCACTTGCAATGGTGATCGAGGCTTAGAGAGAGAGAGAGAGAGAGAGGGAGAGCGAGCTCAATGGCCAAGGGCAGCATTGGAATTTCTAAAATCATCCTGCTACCGCTCCTTCTTCTTGTTCTCGAAACGACGGCGTTCAGCGAGAACCACCAGCTGAAGCAGCAGCAGCGGCGGCCGCGGCAGTACTACAGAAATGCGTACGCGACGATGATGTACATGGGGACGCCCAGGGACTACGAGTTCTACGTTGCGACACGTGTCATGATCAGATCGCTCTCCAGGCTCCACGTTGCCGCCGATCTCGTTGTCATTGCCTCCCCGGACGTCCCCCTCCGTTGGGTTCAGACTCTGTAAGTCCTCTGTCGCTTATTTGTCTTTTTCCTCCGTTTCGTTTTTCCTTTTTGGCCGTAACGTGCGGGCAGGGCCGTCCCGGCGCACGTTAGAAAAAACATGGGGTTTCGGCGCACGTTACGCTGTGTAGAGCTACCAAGTAGCGAAGGGTTAGTCAACTAAAAGTTGAGCCAATTAGGTCGGTCGTTGTTGGTAGTTGGTCAAAATGGTCAACGACTTTTTATTTGTATTTTTACGGATGGATCGGGACCGTCTATTTTGGGTGGTCTTAGATGCAGCTTAGAATATGCCCTCCTGATTTTTTTTTCCTTTTTCGGATAAGAATGCGTGGGGGGTGCCTTTTCGAGTCACAGCGCAACAGCAATGCATTTACCTAAGGGTCTTAATGGGTAGACTGGCCAGTGATATCTTGTTGGGCGTTGCTTCCCATTTGCGTGACGTGGTGTGGTTTGATTGGCGGGGGGGTCGAAGTCAGTGGATGGAATCCAAAGACATGGCACCGTTGGTTTTGGTGAACCTCGTCCGTTGGTCTTAGGTGGTCGTGTTTTCAACATTTGCCTCTTTTTTCTCTTCATGGTTAGTCTTTAAGAAGAAAATAAGAGGAGAGTTGGCAAAGATTCCGGAAATATCATTGATAAAAGTCAAAAAAACTCGATTACATGTTTAATTTGCGCGTATTTAGTTTTATAATTTTATTTGTTTAATTTGTGCTTACTTGAATTCCATTAATGTCTAAGTTCTTATCATATTTTTTTCCATATTAATTGCTCTCTAATCATCTAGATTCTATATGTAGATAATTCTATATAAGGAAAAAAAAATCAAAAGAGGGGTTTTGTTTATTTTTATTTTCTGCCCTGCATATGACTTGCTTAGATAATGATGACAAGAAAGTCATGGATGGCAATCTATGATTTGTCTGATCCCCCTTTCCTTTGTTTACATCATCACAACTTGACATCCTAGGAGGATCAAGCCCATTCTCACACTGAGCCAAGGCCTTGGGTCCTACAAGCGAGAAAAAAAAAGGAAGAAGTTGGAAATCTCATACATTTTTTATTTAAAATAAGATTTTGTAACATATTATAGATTTTAATAGTGCAATGCCTGTGTCGACAGAGTTAGTCGACAAGAAAAGGGCCTTAATTTGCATACTAGTGGATCTCAGGTTCGAACCCCTATGGCATAGCATGTGTGTGAGAAACCCCTCCCCTTGTATTTTATGCCGTCACATGTATTAAAGTAAAGGTGTGATGCTGTTAACTCAACCTGTCACGTTGGAGAGTCCAATAAATTTGTCTCTCTTTTAGTTTGATATGGTGATCTGAACTGTGACACCACTAATTTGACTTACAAGAACTTGATATCATGACTGGCATATTGATATATTAACACAAATTTTTGTTTTTGTTTGACACAGAGAACAGGAAGATGGGGCCAAGGTGGTGAGAGTGGAAAATTTGAATAATCCATATAGTAACCAGAACAATTTTGACAAAAGATTCAAGTTAACACTCAACAAACTCTATGCGTGGAGCCTAGTGGACTATGACAGGGTTGTCATGCTTGATGCTGACAACCTCTTCCTCCGAAATGCTGATGAACTATTCCAATGTGGACAATTCTGTGCAGCTTTCATCAACCCTTGCATCTTCCATACTGGCCTCTTTGTGTTGCAGGTAAACCCTAAACCTTCAAGCATAAATGTTTGAAATGTTGATGAAACCATTTTAAGCCATTTAGTTTTGACTTCTTATTTCAAAGTTTCACATTGAACTCTTGAATGAGATCCTCAAGATTTTATGTTATGATTTGAGTAGAATTAACTAACACAGAAGAACACTCACAGTAAGACGGCCAGATGCTATTATTTGAAGACGAAAGAATGATGTGCAATTTTTTCAATATCATAATCTGCCTTATATCTTAAGAAATAATTGGGTTTTATAGAAAGGTAATATTAATCCTTTGGTTCCTTGCTGATTTTCCTTCTAAGATTTTAAAATAGAGTCAATGTTAAGGCATTCATCCAAGAAAACTTTATGGTTGAATTTTTACCTGAAAAGGAACCACTTTGGGCTTCATTTGTTCATGATATTTGCAGCCATCAATGGAAGTATTCAAGGACATGCTTCATGAGTTGAAAATTGGAAGAGATAATCCAGATGGTGCAGACCAGGGTTTTATAGGCGGTTACTTCCCGGACTTGCTTGATCAGCCCTTGTTCCGTGCACCTCCTAATGGCTCCAAACTTAATGGAACCTACAGACTACCTTTGGGCTATCAAATGGATGCTTCTTATTATTGTAAGTGAAACAATAAGCATTTCTAATTTTTATCCTATAGGGAAACCAAAGATTATATCTTAGCCACCCTCTACTTTTGCTTGTTATAGATCTCAGATTGCATTGGAGTGTACCCTGTGGACCCAACAGCGTGATCACCTTCCCCGGTGCACCATGGTTGAAGCCATGGTATTGGTGGTCATGGCCTGTTCTGCCGTTGGGCATTTCGTGGCATGCGCAACGCCAACAAACTCTTGGGTAAGACCACAAACCGTTTCTGCATTAACTGATCGCATCATCTGCCGCATCGTGTAGCCCGTCAATGTGGTGAAATATACGCTTAGGATTTTTCTTTGTGATCACCTTTCAAGCTGGCAAACCTAACTGTCACTGTCTTCCTCTGTGATACAGATATGGTGCAGAGATGCCAGTGGTGCTAATCCAGTCGCTAATTTATCTGGGAATAATAGCAATGACACGTATGGCACGACCAAATATATCCAAGTTGTGCTACAGGCGCTCAGACAAGAGCATTACCTTAATACACACCGTCCTCAAGATGATAGCAGCGTGGTCGATTGTAGCTGCGTACGTTGTGCCTTTCGTGCTCATTCCTCACACGATTCATCCGCTGCTAGGCTGGGGTTTGTACTTTCTTGGCACTTTTGCACTTTGCTTCATAGCAATCAATGCTCTGTTGCTGCCAATGCTGCCAGTTCTATCTCTGTGGCTTGGATTTCTCGGCGTCCTCTTTGTCATGGCATTTCCTTGGTATCCAGATGGTGTTATAAGAGCTCTCTCTGTATTTGCCTACGCATTTTGTGCTGCACCATTCGCATGGCTGTCAGTGGTTAAGGTCATGTCATCTATTCAAGCCGCAGTTGAAAGGGAAGCTTATTTTCCGAAAATTGGGTAAGTCCTCTCCACGTCTGAGCTTTGAACTTTGAAAGCACATTGCCAACTCCCCAGGATGAAGTGATGACAAGGACTGAGAGACGGTTTACTTCGACAAAATTCGGGCAGAAATGAGGCTGTGCTTTTTTCTTCTAATTTTTGGGGAAAAGGGGAAAAGGGGAAAAGGGTCAGATGGAAGCTTGGTTTTGCATGAGCTTCCATTGTTTTTGTACCATAAACTTCATTGTTAAAACTAACAGGTGTGGCACATGCCTGTTCGCATGGAAAACTGTCTGTAATTATACAAGATCCCTTTTATCAGATTTCTTGCGTGTTTTGGCTCCGACAGTTGAGTGTAACAATGACGTTACGTTTACTAATTTGGCCTGAGGAAGGTGACACCAAAATATTCTCTTACCATATGGAAATCTTTTGTTTGTTTTCTTATTGTTTTTACCAGGTTTCCGGCCGAGGGGTCGGAGATGTCTCCTTTCTATGCAATTGTTAACAGTGAAATTGTTTGGAATAAAGCAAAGTTGAAGAAGCCATATGCGATAAAAAGAAAATTGGGATGAGAGGCATATTTTGGCGACGAGATAAGATTGATGTGGCTATAATTAAAACCGAAGCAAGTTCACGCAAAGTAAAAACAAGTAGATGATCCGGATCCTTTCGCCACCATACTATTGGGTGAAATAGCCAACAATGAAATGTATCAAATGCCCAAGTCCCGTATTACTTACCATTCTAGCTATCGGTGTTAGTGGTACTTCTCTTCCACAAAATGCTAGGTGAGGTCCCAAATGAAAGATTACCACCCAAAAAAAAACAGACAGAACACGATACAATAATTACACAGAGGAAATCACAACAACAGTGCTTAAATTGTCTCAAAACTCATCCTTCTGATAGAATAGAGCCGCAAAAGCGGCCATTCCAATTCAAACTGACTTTGTTTTTTTTGGTCAGAGGGGATGTACAAAGTATACCACCGGAAAGTTGTTCTAAAAAGGGTAGTTAAATTCCCAACCAAGCACTACGATTTTAAGCATCGATTTCTGCATATCTTCATAGTGGCCAATGCCACCATACATCTTACTAATGAATCTATCTTTGTTAACTGGTTGAGCCTTTTTCTTGCCTTTTCCAGTTTTTGCTACCTGCATAGATCAACGACCGCAGATGTAGCCTTGATGAAGACATGAAATATAAATAATAAAAATAAAAAACAATGACAGAAAATACCTCAGTCCACATCTCCCTGCCATTTTTCGAGAACCATGTTGCAACGTCTATCAAGTGCTCTCACATGGCCAAGGAGCTTCCTGTTTTGATGAGAACCATTTTGAATTAGAATTACTGCCCTCGACATGTAAAGCCTTAATGAACACAAAGAACTATAAAAGTGTAACAAAGGATTACCTCAGTGAGTATGATCTTTGATACTCATTATAAGAACAGACTAATCAGATCAGGTATCCAGATTTTCCGCACTAAGAAGCTCAGGAAAATGAAAGTTTCATCAGAAATATCATTAGAAGCAAAAAAAGATCTTTTATGCAACTCGCTGCTGTCGATATAAAGGTTAAGTCCACAAATTCAGGTTTCTAAAAGTTAAAGTCTGACCATGTGGGTGTAAGACAATAATTTCAATGTAGCAAATACTATTGCAAAAAAGTCTATAAAGTAATCTACCTTGAACTAATGAGAAGAGAACTCTTCACTGTGAACTCTACTGGATATTATTTGTCAACCGAACCCTAACACTCAAAGTAACAAATGGTGGACACAAGCTTGTGACCCCATGCTAAAACTTTAACATACCAAATTGATATCCGATCAGTTTAACGACACTACTTTTGAAGTTGTTAATTAAAGGGTTCAAGCGTCATTATCAAATATTCCATTAAAAATATAAAATACCTCTGAAGAACCTCAATAGTCTAAACAACATACGCAAAAAGGACACGAAATATGTTCAAATACAGTATGTATTCAAAGACATAATTGTATATACATATATATAGGGTAAATACACAACAACAGCCAAAAAAAAATCCTCTTCAGTTCAGGTCTCCAAATTTTTTCCGCATGGAGCATCTCGGAAGAACGAAAGTTATTTATTGATCATCATCAGAGGCAAAATAAAGTCATTTAATATATAAATGATAAAGCAGAGAGACAAAGAACAGGACACTGCTAGCCCAAGATGGATACATTTAGCACCATCCATGAGCAGATATGAAACTCGTTATAATTTAAAAAGAGCTACATCCCCTGATTGTTAGTTGATTCTTACTTGAAAATAACAAGCAAAAAAAACTCAACCCACCAAAAAAGACAAAATATTTTCAATTATAGACAAAGTATATAGTACACGTATGCCGTAAACACAAAAACAAGCCTCTTCAGTTCAGGTCTCCAAATTTTTCCGCATGGTGCATCTCGGAAGAACGAAAGTTATTTTTCAATCATCATCATTAGAGGCAATAAGTCATCTAATATATAAAACACAGAGAGAGAGAGAGAGGAGAGAGACGAGAGAGAGAGAGAGAGAGAGAGAGGAGAGAGAGAGAAGAGAGAGAGGACACCACGAGAGAGAGAGAGAGAGAGAGAGAGAGGACACCACATTACAGACTCAGCACTATATAAAAGCAGACATGAAACTAGGTGTAAGGATCCGCATTTTTAGATGATGCTTATTTGACAATAATAAGCAAAAAAATCAAAACTTCATAAAGAACGCATATGACATTCTCTAAAACCAACTATATTTGCATGAAATTTATGGATAAAATAGTACCAATAGCAATGTGAAAAAAGGATTAAACAAAATCATAGATCAAGAAAAGTTAATAAACAACTTAAAAGTACAGATGCTCAGACCTGGCCGAGAGGTGACTAGGGTTTATACGAGGGAGGCCGGAGAGGAGAGAGAGAGAGAGACGAAGAAACAGACGAAGGGATTTATGGGCTGCCTGGACTATAAATATAATGTTATATGGGCCGTGGCTTTTATGGATCTGGGTAGTAATGTGAATGGGAGGTAGTCCGGCTTTGAGCCCAAACCGCTCACCCTCGCTAAATATAAATTTTGGAAGATGCTGGGCTTTGATAGAGTATCATAAGCAATAACAACAGCTACCTTCGTGAGGGCCTTATATACTGAACAACCGCATAGACCCATTCTCTAGCACCGCGAAGAGGCTATAATGAGGAGTTTAAAGTGATGAGACTATTTGAGGAGGTCAATCTCATCATCAACAAATGTAAAGAAATCATGGGACTTAAATATTTTAAATGTTTTGATGGTGGGATCGGTCTCCTCAAATAGTCTTCTCACTTTAAACTCCTCATTGTAACCTCTCCCCCAGCACCGATATTGTCCCCAACTTAACCATCTAAGCCAAATAAATTGGTCAAGTCCAATAGACCATTATTATAGATGGGGTTTTATCTTAAAGGCCTTGGTGCTATTATCAATGATAGTTAAGGTGTAAGTTACTATTAAACTCCCTTGATGTGGGACTCTATAAAAAGGAATTTCACATGAGATATGAGGAGAGAAATTTGTATGGAATTTTGGTGTGGGAAGTGTATAATATCGATAGGTATTTATAGTAGAAAAAAAATCTTAATTTTTTGGTTTTTATATATATATTTAAATTGATTGATGATGTCATCAACGTGACGTCAGCATGAGATCAACAAACTCATAGAACTTAGGCAATTCTTGCCTTTGGGCTTGCATGGATAAATGAAGCCCATTTTTGCCCGGGCTACCTTTCATTGATAGGTGGCTTAAACCTAGCCTGCATTCCTTTTTACCTTGACAAAAGTAAGCTGCTGAAAGTGCTCTTATATTTATACACCACAAATACGTTCTTAGGGCTAAATTTATTTAAATACACCATAAATAGATATTAGTGTGTGTCTGCATATCTTTTATTGTTTTCTTGTCCATGATTAACATGTAAGATGATGATACATACGTATTCCTTTGCCATTGGCTTCATGGGTCCCAATCTTGTCATTGATTATATACATTCTTATGGACTATAAATTAAAATGCACAGAAAAAATCAGTTGGATTTAAAATGTATAACAATAAAGGGTATCACTTTGTGGTTTCAAGGAGTACCCAAAAAAATAAAAAAAAAGTTACATAGTATTGGTAACAAGAAATAGAGAGGCAAAGTTTGTTGACATGGGTTTGTATTCCCCTATTCAGCTTTATTATTGTAATTTTGTGGCCTACTTCTTGTTCAAAGATGATGCAAATGCCGAGGACTGTAAACCCACAAGAACTTACCAAAGAAAAATCGCTTGAATCGTTCTTTGCATGTCTCCCCCGCTCAAATTGTCCTTTTTCGAACGACAATTTCTGATTATCATTTGAGAAGAGAACACTACATACACTAAAGATTAGAAATTGCTCATGCACAAAATTCATGTATTATATATCATTAGTCATTGTTAAGAATCATTCACGTGCACATTTGCTCTCGAACTATTCATCATAGTAAAATCCACATATTATATAATAACTCGGTTAAATACAAAACTGAGAATGAAATAGAACTACGGGTGAAAATAACAGCACTCTTGCATAATAACTCAGTCCAAATCATCATGGCTATTTCGTCTGACAAAGGCAATCGGTGTGTAGGGTTTCGGTTAATTTGGCTCCATGTCCAGATTGAGGAACTGGGGTTGGGTACAGGCTCCAACATTCAAAAATTTTGGTTTTCGAAAAGGTAGGGCCCAACATGGTCCAAAAATTCATGAATGTTAGAGCTACAATACAAAATGGTATTTAACCATGCCCTGGGCCATCATTTTGTCATCCACAGCAGCACCACCACCACCACCCCCGCCCCAACCAACAACACCAGCACCACAGGATGTTGGACAAAGAAGATAAAGATGACCGTTTGAAGGAAGCAAGTATTAGAAGAATAATAATGGTACTAAAAAATGAAATAAATAAATACATTAAAGTCAATAAATTCTTTCTTTTTTGTCTCAACTTTAAGTCAAATAAACTTCACAACTTCACATGGCCAAGTTTCCTCCAGCTGGGGACCATTTTTGGGTGCTCTAAATTTCTTGAACCCTAGCAAAAATAAATAAATAAATTAATTATTACCAGACATTTGCCAATTTGGTAAACAAGAATTTTGCCCTATGTAATTATGCAATAAATAAATAATTAATCGAACAATTGCACCCCATAATCTACAGCGACAGACAGTGTGTGCATTGTTATTTTAAGTTTGTCGGGAGAAGATAATCATTCTATCATTACAAAAGTGAAGTCATGATCAGTTAATTAATCTGCCTATGCACTTTCCCTAATCTTCATTATTGAAAACAATTGTTACCCATACCACTGCATTGGATCATCTTAAACAAAAATTAATTGCAACTTAATTAGAGTAACCCATCACGTAAGACTCCTCCATTGTCGTTTCGGACTGGTTTTTTTATCGGACATGCTTCCGATCATAAACCCTTTTGTTAATTAGAAGCAGTTTTCTTATAAGAACGTGCAAGTTTCTTACTTCCTGGAAAATTACTTGAAAATATGCTTTTTAAATAAGTGCTTCTTCAGAAAGCGTTTCGTTTTGGATTTTCCCAAATCTATGTAATGTGTGATATATTAATTAAACCACTAAAATATCACCGAAATCATTCGCACAGTGAGGTAGAATCCGAGGTGGGAAGACTTTAGAGTACATATAATTAGGATGTATCTTTATCTCTCTCATCACTGCTGAGTTGTGCATGCAAATTAAGCCAAAAACATATTTGACCCCACTTACTTATCCAAAGGCCAATTCGTAGCATAACGAGACCAACCCAAGCGAGGGAAGCCCCAAAAAAAAAAATGACCGTTGGAAAGGACTGAAATTTGTTTCCATATATATATATAGTACTTGCATTCCATTATATACATGTTCCTTGATATCTCTTCGATAGCTCTTGGCTCTTGCAATCGAATCTCATAACCTCAGAGAGAGAGGGAGCAATCTATCTATCCACCGTTTTCGTTTCTCTTTCTATTTTCGTTATTATTATTATTAAATTTAATGCTGTTTTAATTAATTCAAACAATTAATGGCTTCTTCTCTTTTGTCTTCATCATCATCTTCTTCTTACTTCTTCTTGGTGTGCACCACACTCACTGTGTTTTCCTTCTGGTTGTTTCATGCAGCGCCAGCGGTGACAGCGGTGAGAAGCTCTCCCGTAATGCTAGTCCACACTACTAACAACAATGGTTCAACATCAAACTCTACCAAGAACCACCACAAGTGGGTGGGGCCAACTGGTCACCGCCAGATCGCTGTCGACATAAACGGCTCCGGGGATTTCCTGTCCGTCCAAGCCGCCGTCAATGCTGTACCGGCAAACAACACGGTCAATGTTCTCATCCTAATCAGCCCCGGATACTACAGGTCATTATTAATCATTATTGTCACTGGTCATGTAATCAGTAAATGTGGTACAAATAGTAATAGACTCTATAAGTGGTAAAAAAAATTGTAATATTAATTACTGTGGAGATAAATATGATATGGTTAATGGGTATGCAGAGAAAAAGTGGTTGTGCCGGCGACAAAGCCGTACATCACGTTTCAAGGAGCTGGGAAAGATGTGACCGTGATCGAATGGCATGACCGAGCCAGTGACCCTGGGCCCAACGGCCAGCAGCTGAGGACTTACAGGACAGCTTCTGTTACTGTTTTCGCCAACTATTTCTCCGCAAGAAACATTAGCTTCAAGGTACGTTAAGAGTAATGCTAGAGAAATCACGTTTTTCACTATATATTACAACTAATGCGTGTTTATTAGAGCTAACCATATAAATATAGTTGGATTTTTGCATGCACGAATGAGCATTATATGGATTTATTTACTTATTATCATAGAATACGGCGCCGGCTCCGATGCCGGGGATGCAAGGGTGGCAAGCGGTAGCGTTTAGGATATCAGGTGACAAGGCATACTTCTCAGGGTGTGGCTTCTATGGTGCCCAAGACACACTTTGTGACGATGTGGGGCGCCATTACTTCAAGGATTGTTACATCGAGGGTTCCATAGACTTCATCTTTGGGAATGGTCGGTCCATGTACAAAGTAAGTAACTACCTAAATAATATTAATGTTGATTTAATTTTGTTTAATTAGCATCAATTTTAACATGTATTTTGCATGCTATAACTATTTTTGTCTAAATTGCCATTGTCTTGTTGAGCTCTAAGCAAAAAATTTAGTGCTTTTGTCTATGAACACCCGTGACTCTTCCATTTTGAAAAAGAACAGGATGCTTGCCTTTTTTCTGCTGCATCTTTGTGACAGAGTGATGTCACTTTAGTGCACATGAAGTCAAGAAAAGTGAGGAAGCTTTTTCCCTTCACCAGTTTTATCTGTTGGTGGGAAAAATGCTATTTGCATATACGAGGCATTTGTATTCAACAATTGTGAATCGTTTATCGATCTATCTGTAAATAAAAGATTAACGATAACATTACTCGTATTCTAATTTTTAAAGCAAACTTAGGTATGTGGCGAGTGTAATTCTTAGCGATTAAATTGTTCTTACAAAACCCTAATAATGTAATTCTTAGTGCCTCAAGAAATTTAAACAAATGGTCTTATCAAAACAAAAAATTTACCCTTTTTTCCCACCCCCTCCTCTCAATATAAAATCATTATTGTTAGTGCTTTACGGTGACGTTTCGTTTGCAATGAGTGGTTTGACTTTTTGACTGATCTACTATTGGCTGGTTCTGGTTGGCACAGGACTGTGAGCTGCACTCGATAGCAACCAAGTTCGGGTCAATTGCGGCCCACTACAGAAACTCAGCGGATGATAAATCAGGCTTCGCTTTCGTGAACTGCCGAGTTACGGGTACGGGTCCTTTGTATGTGGGTCGGGCCATGGGCAAGTACTCCCGGATCGTATACTCCTACACCTACTTTGATGACGTGGTCGCTCATGGTGCCTGGGATGACTGGGGCAACACAACCGCCAGCATTACAACAAAGTAATTAACTACCTTCAGCTTTTAATTACTTTTTTTATTTTATGACAAGTGCAATATTCTAAATCCTTCATATAAACTGATTTTGGGAAGAGAAGATTCAAACTTAAAATTAAGAGTGCCTTAATTATTTGAGTTAAGAGTTTTTTTTATAATGTACTCGGATGCAAAGGAGTAGATAGACACACTGTTTCGGTCAACTGATCTTACCAACATTTGCTCCAATTACTTGATTACTTCTAATCATTCTTTAGTGGGCCCACCCTCTCTGTTTCCCTTTTGACAAACACGTCTGTGGGGCCCATTTTAATTTTGTGGAATTATAGGTGTTTGAACTCCTAATCATTGTCATTGGATCAAACCCTAGTCAACAAAGACAAGGCCAAAGAAAGCTTAAAAAAAGTGATGGAAAAGCAAAATATTTCAAAGATTTCTTGTCTCGAGATAATTAAAAACATAAAGATTTCTTGTCTCGAGATAATTAAAAACCCAACTTTTTCTTCTACTATTTTTATATACTAATTTCCTCACATGAAGTGAGAAATTCATGTAAAAAAAAAAATAGGAATTCAAAAAGAGAAATACCGTTAGACCAATATATAATAAATATCATAAATTTTTTGGATCTCAACTAACATATTAAAAAATTTAATTTATTTTTAACAAGTAAGATATTTTAATGTCATGTCATTCGTGACTAAAATTTGGAAATAATAAGTGGGCCAACCTGACTTTTAATGGGTTTTTTTGTTTTTTTCGATGGCAAGTGCAGGAGGAGTGTGTTTCTGGGAGTCTACAAGTGCTGGGGGCCAGGAGAAGAAGCCCTGCGTGGGGTGTCATGTGCCCCGGAGCTTGATTATGAATTGGCCCATCCCTTTCTGGTCAAGAGTTTCGTCAATGGAAGGCACTGGATTGCACCCTCTGATGCTTAGCCTTTGCTAACATCTCATACTTGTTCCAAATCCCATTCTTTAATTCATTATTTAATTCAATTATTGTAAAATATATCTACTCCATCAACATACTGTATCAAGGGTTGCTGTTCCTTCTAATCGCTTTATGCGGGAGAAAGGTAGGCTACTTAAAATAGTCCAACAACCAAACTCTTATGCGTGTAGATTTGCTCATCTAATCCTGACAAGTGTCCGACATTTTGTACTGTGTACCTTTTCTTCAATAATATGATATCGTTTTGTTTAAGGCTTTTTCATTAACATTTGAGTTTGCGTGCTACTAGACCAAACGATCATTGGCTCGCCAACAAACAAATCTAAGAAATTTTCCTTACCATATAACCCCCAAATTTTATACAAGCTTTACGTGTATCAAAACCTTGCTCTGAAACCGGGCAGCAAAAACAATCATAAGAATCTGAAATAATAAAACTGCATGCAATTCAGGCAATAACCAATTTATTTTCACAAATTTTGATAAACAAACATCTGTGTGCGCCCAGGGGATAACAGCTATGGGGATATGAAATTAGCACGGAGGAAAGACGGTTGCTCTCACATTATACAACAATTTGTCTGAGACTCTAGCATCTCTGGAGACCTGCAAAGGAAAGCATCGTGGGTCAGTTGATAGAGCTGGCCAAAGTTCTAAACGATTTCTGCAAATTGATGGTGCCACAGGGAAAGCATGTTATACTGAGTTTGTATTTCTCAGCCAAGAAGAAATCTATCTGATTTTCTTGTGGTAACACAAGTCATGTTCAACTTTGACGTGATAAATAGCGTAAATTATCGTCGCTCCAAACTGAATGTTCTATTTAAATGGGAGTCTCAGTGTCTCTGCTGTAGTACAGATTCAAGTTCTCACAGCTTTAAGGAAGAGCCTACCTTCTAGACTCGGTACATAAATTTCCTTTAATAGATAGTATAAAACTCTCAATCTGAATAACACTGAAGAACAATTGATTCCTTAGCTCCAATACTTAACATAAATGGGTTCATAGACCATTTTCCTGATGAGATGCCCTCAGCAGTTGTCCTCCCAAATAAATAACATCTAAGAACAACAGTATTCATATACAGAAAATATTAAAGTAGCAAATGTGATCATCAGCGAACTTAAGATGCGTGAGCGCTTTAAAAGTTGCAGACAAACTAACCATTCAGATTTTCATAATTAACACAGTAGAAGACTTACAGTTGTCCAAGACTAGCTAGGTCAAAATCAGGAGCTAGCTCCTGCACAATATCATTAGGTGGTTGGCCGCATTCTTGCATTTTCTGCATGAGCTCAAAAATCCGGGTGAAGTTTCCAGAATCCTTTTCGTAGACTTCATTAAGATCTTTTATGAGTTCGTACTGGTGAAAATAACGTTCATGTTCTTCTTTACTCAAACTCGCTTCATGCTCTTTCAACCACTTTGGATATCTTTCTCCAATTTCCTTCATCGGTTCATGAAGAATATCCTTAGACAAAAGCTGCTGCATCATGGTCTCAACAATAGATTCCATGTCCTACACAAAAATAGGGGGGAAATTAACAATAAAAAGATATTACTGCTTTTATTAACAGGTTGTACACCAATTTGGCAAAGCATCAAGTAGGAACATGAAGGTAGTGCATATTTACGAAAGAAGCAGAACATGTAGTAGCTAAAGCATGCCATTATGGCCAAATCCTAACACCACCAAAAGGATGAATACAAAGAAGTAGGAGTTTATTCATCTTATTAACATGAGACGGGTTTTTAAACCCAAACTGGCACAAATTTTGCAGAATTCAAAAGACAAAACATTGTACACTCAAATACAAGTTATGTGAACTAAAATTTTTGGAGGAAGAGAAGGAAAGTACAAGAAAGAAAAATATATGAAGACATTGAATGGAGGTCTACTACGCTATTATATAAAGAAAATGAAACAGTCTAAAAAGCACAAGGCATATGCATTCCAGAAACATACTTATCCACATTCAATTTTAGTTTGGTGTCTCATTCAGTAGATAAATCTTGAAGTTAGCTATTGTTTTGCTGAAATGATGACCAAAACTTCTAAATATACTTCCTCCAAATAAACTGTAGAAGCCACTGACCGAGTGCCTAAGCAATTAGTAGATTACCAAGCAATGCATATGATGAAACAGCAAATGAAAGATTTTGTATATGGTGAACATATGGCACAAGTAAATGAAATATCTATTACCACCACTCTTTGTTGCCTACCATGTAAAGTATGATATGTCAATACTAGGACCCACAAGCAACCAAGCGTACAGCCAACCAATAGATCCTGCTTTGTCTCATCCTTCTCACAATGGTACCAAAAACTTAAGATAAAGGTTAAACTTCTGCTACAGTAAGCAAGCCTCATAGTTATTTTGATGGTTAGCACCTCGAATACTAAACATGAATTAGACGATATTTTTTTTCACGACATGCAGAAAACAATTAAATTTCATATCAGGGAAAGCTATTCAGAAATTACACACCAATACCTCCTCTCTTCATCCCAACCCTAAAAAGAAGCAAACACACCAGTAGGTCCTAGACATAGCTTCCAAAAAGGGTATTTATTTTCTAATCAAGTTTCTGAATTGATCATTCTTCTCCCTCTGAAAGGAGCTTGACCCGATCAAGTTAGGAGCTAGACTAAGAAGGGATTCATCACCTTCAATGCGTTTTAGGAAAGTGCTAGCTGTTTTCTTGAGTTTTATGGACAGAGAAAATTTAGTAGGTACAATATTTAGCTCATAGTCCCCATGTTCAAAGGTAATATGTGTTGTTGCTCTAGGCAGGGGTTATCAGTGGGTCCTTGAAACATGGGGACTATTGAAGGTGATGGACACATAAAAGAGATTTAAAAAAAAAAGGGTTATCAGTGGGTCCTTGGTTTCACTTAATCTGAACATGAATTCCTCGAACTTATCAATGTATTCAACGACCAACATATTCCCTTACAAAGAGACTAGCAGTAGTCCAAAAGCACTCGCAAAATGGTTAACATTACATTTCTATTTCAACCTTTCTTTCAACTCACTTCAATGGAGATTGGTTCTGTGCTATATCAATTTGTTTTTCAAGGTTATACTCCCAAAGAGTTTAGTTTGGCACACCAACTTCGTCTTGGAAAATCCAACTTTGTGACTCTTAGATATTTGATACCGCTCAAACTATGGGTCCAGGTCACAACCAAAAAGCTTAGGATTTAGTTTATCTATGAGCATCAATATGATTGCTATTACCGTATCAAACATAAAGCTAAAGTTTTAGTATGTGCTTTGTCAGAAAATTGATCCAATATGATTTACCATTAGCCTATATCAACCCAGAATTCCAATTCTTAGTAAACAATATTGTCAGAACGAGTGATACTCAGCAAGCAATAGTTATTCTCAATAGCAATATACTTGAAATCAGAACACAGGGATCATATTAGACACAAGCATTGCAATGAAAATTTCAGTTAGTAAAACAAATTTCAGGTACAGAGGAGGATAAGTTCCATGTTCTAAATTCTATCAAACACCAACCTTAATCTAAATACCCATGTATCGAATTCACAACTTATAAAATTGTGTCGATTACAATCAATAACTAATAACAGCTCAAATTGCATAAAACTCAAACCAAACAACTAGAAGAAAAACTTGACCCCCCCAAAAAAAAAAAAAAAAAAAAAAAAAAAAAAAAAAAAAAAAAAAAAAAAAAAAGCAGAAAAAAAGAAAAAAAAAAAAGAAAAAAAAAAAAACCTGAGACCCAGCAAGTTCCTCGAACTGCTTGACCCAATCTTCCACATCCTTACCCAAATCCTCTCCGCCAGGTTTCGTACTTGTCACAGATTCCAGTCCCTTAACAGCCTCTCTAGTCTGCTCTCTGAGCTTATCAAGAGCCTCAGTAACATGGGATTCCTCTGAAACCTTTTGTTTTCCCTTTTTCTTTGTTCTTATTTCAGGTAATCCCATGCCAAGTCCTTGAACCCCAGCAGGCAAGGAAGGTGGTTCTTGCTTGTTCTCTGTAGATTCTTTACTTCTATGACAAGAAAAAGAATGTAAATACTCAACTTGGCGCAGAAGTTTCACATAGTTCCATTAAGCATACTGATATTTACTACTAATACATAATTCATTATACACGCCTAACGCTTTATTTCACCATTTTCTTCATGGGTTATACTTATAACAATAATTTCATTCAGTTGAAAATGCTGTTGAGCAACTTGGGCAAAAGCAAAATACAAACACCCATGATGTGATTCCTTTCCTTTCTATATTGAAAACCAAATGTTGAATGAAAAATTGTCCTTGGTTACTTTCATAAACAATTCTAGACAAAAATTTTTGAAGAATTACAAACTACCTTCGGAACGAAGAAAATAACGTTTTGAACACAAATACAAACTCAGAATTTTGAAGAAACAAACCCCCGCATGAGAATTTACAAAGTAAAGCTTGACGCTTTTGAGAGAGAGAGAGAGAGAGAGAGAGAGAGAGAGAGAGAGGGAGAGAAACCTCTGAAGGGAGGGTTTGTTGAGGTTGAGATTCTGGAAGTCATCTAAGGCACCTGAAAATCAATTCAAAGACAAAATTACAAAATTTAGAGAGAGAGAGAGAGAGAGAGAGAGAGAGAGAGGGAGAGAAAGCAAAGCTTCTTGTATCTAATACATACTATCGAGGAGTTCGTCTAAATCATCAGAGTGGTCAGCCATGGATGAAACTTGAAGCTCTCTCTCTCTCTCTCTCTCAACTCTGTGTAAAGTCTCAACTGCTTAGCGTCTGGGTGGGGATTGGAAAGGAATTATGGAAGAAGTACGGAATTGATGCAGGGATTGAGAAAAAGCAAAGCTACAAAAATGACGAATGGGGCGGTCAATCTATATGGACTGGATTTGGGCCCAAGGTCTTGAGCTTTCAACTCTAAAGATATTTTTCTTTCTTCTCTTTTTTGCCAATTCTTTCTCTCTTTTTTTACCAGATAAATTGCACACCTATCTTTTTTATTATTATTATTATTATTATTTTTAGTACAAGTCATAGTCTAAAGTTACATCCTCTCACATACAATTATGATGCCGTGGGATTCAAACTTGAGATCTCTGATATGCAACACTAGACTAGACTCGTTGGCTTGCACACCCAATTTTAGTAGATAAATTGCACTCCCTATGTGCGTGTGAGAGAAGAAAGTGGGATAACAAGGGCCCAACTGTAACATCCCACATTGACCAACGGAGAGGGGGTGATGTGCTTTATATGTACATGTCTGCTTCCATCTAGTACGAGGCCTTTTGGGAGCTCACTGGCTTCGGAGTCATGGGAACTCCGAAGTTAAGCGAGTTGGGGTTAGAGCAATCCCAGAATAGGTGACCTACTGGGAAGTTGCTTGTGAGTTCCCAAAAACAAAACCGTGAGGACAAAAAGGGAGGCTCAAAGCAGACAATATCGTGCTACGGTGGAGCCGATTTCGGGATGTGACACCAACTGCTTGAGCTCTATAACCTTACTCAATTGAATGCACAAGAAATATTGATAAACTGTTTAATGTACAATACCACCAATGATATATATCATATTTGACCAAAAATTATTTGAGGGACATCCTTATAGGGCACACCTCATATGTTATTTTTTAAATTCGAACCTTCTATTTGATAGATATTCAAAGATAATCTATACAAAAAATCACTTGAATCCGAGTCAGCCACACACGCGCGCGCGCACACACACACACACATATATATTCTTGACTATTCACCTAGAATGAGTCACATTCTTTCTTACCTATGAGTTATAGTTTGACACGTATATAAAAGTAACTTATTGAAAACACAAAAAGTAAAGCTTTCATTCATTTGTCAAATTCTAATTTGGAGGTATAGATGACTGATTCCTTTCATGTAACAAGCCAATTATTTCCCTTATATGTATGTATAGTGGTTTGGATTTTGTTGTTGTATAATTCACATCTGAGAGCGCTAGTATCTTAGAGCCAGCATTGTTTGTTGAGTCCAATATCAACTAATTCCTTATAAAGTAAAATTATTTAGTTTTAAGATTCAAAATTTAAGGGTAATAGAGAAACTATAACCTCTTATCTGCTCACCTAGGTAGGGCTTAGAATAGATGTACCAGCAAATACTTTCAAAGAAAATCTCATTGTAAATTTCATTTCCTCAATGACTGTATTCATTACAGATGGTTCCTTCTTTTATACAAACAATGCCTCTGGCTTTCCAGCCAGTTTAAAAAACTAAACTCAACTTCCTAACTGGAGACTGCTGAGCTGCTTACTGAAAAGCAAAGAATGCTGATAGATATTTAGATTTAAGCTAAACTTAACTTCCATAGGAGAAAATTTTCAATGGGGTAAAATTCAAAAGAAATTCCACGTACATGGCAAGTAGTACTGCTATTTAGGCTATATTGCTTCATTCGTTTACAAAGTTGGACTAGAGTCAGCTTCTAAAATTGTCATGTGATAGAGGATTTGGCCCCTGATCTTTAGTCTCTGAAACACCAGTCACACAATTAGCCTCGATAGTAGCTGCTTGCTTGATGTTTGGTTCTTCTGTGACAGACTTCTCTGTGGTTTCCATAGCCATTGTAACAGTATTATTGTTTCCACAATTCAGGCAAGGCTTCTGACCCTCCGATTGCAGGATTTTCTTGAAATTAGGGAGTTGAACTTGTTTCCACCGGTACTTCTTGGTACACATGGGGAGGCATGTATTTCCCTTCTTGGGGATGGAAAATAGTCTGAGCAATTGGGTTTGGGGGGTAAAGAGCTTGAAGCCCGACTGGCCCACATATAGCTTGGCTACTTTTAAATCGTTTGAAGTTAGCAACACGCTTCTTTCCAGAAAGATGGTGGTAAAAATTCCCATGCCTATCACACTTGACATTGCATATATCACAGATTAGCGGAATAACAATCTTCTTAGTTTCAGTTTCAGAAGTAATCTTGTGCTTCTTCTTGCGCTTTGGACCATGCTGCTGCCCCGGGATATTATTTTGCTGTTCAGTTTCCGCAGAATTTACATGGATAACAGCTTCAGTGGGTAAATTTTCTGTTGGTTTGTTCTGTTCACCATCCTGTGCACACTGAGTCAAATGAGACACTTCCAGATTTGAATTAGATGTGCGATTCTGTTGGCCCTGTAATTCATTCCCTGATCTGATAGCATTTTTCATCTTTTCCATCTTTTCCATCTTCTTCATGTTCTTCTTATGTCGCTTTCCATTCTTGTGATTCTCAAGAATTTCCAAACTATTGCACGCGGCCTTACAAATTTCACACCAAGCAACCTGGGAACTTTGGTTGTTCCGAACTTTAGTTTTGTTTGGAACTTCTGTTTTAAGTGCTGACGCTGATTCTGATTTCTCAGGTGGAAGTGTTGCTGGAGCAACTGAAGATTCTGGATGCGAAGATGTTGAAGGGAAACCATGTTGTGAGAAATGCTTAGGGCCACCACTACCACAACCATGTGGTCTTCCAATGAAAGATGGGCCAGCTCCACCGGGTCTCAGGTGGTTGTAGCCAAAATTTCCTTGGTGTCCCTTGAATGGCTCACCACCCCTTTCACCACCACTACTGTATGGAGGCTGACCAACCTGAAAAATTAAATCTTGAAAGAATAAGAATGAAGAAAGCTGGATACAAGCCAAATGAAAAAGAGCAATGATGTTTGCAATCTTAAAAAACCCTATGTAACTTGAATATCAATATTTCAAATTGACCCACAGGGTTTGCAATCAGAAAGGAACTTTTGTGACTTAGAGCACCAAATACATTAGCCAATACATCGCTCCAAACCCTTCAGAAAAGAGAAAGATACATAGCAAAAACAGCCTCAACTTCAAAAGAAGTCAGATGACATCAAAACCATATATTTGCTTCGACCTTCTGCTCATAATACATATACCCAAAACCAACATAAGGGATTTCAGAAAAAGTACAGTGAGACAAAAAGGATAATTTGGCAACATTGAGTAGTAGATACCCACCAGAGAATTTTACAAAACATCTAGATGAACTTAAAAACTTAATCAACAGGAACCAGACAAACAAAATTCAGGAAGCCAATTGAACATATAGTCTAAAACAAACCAACAAATCTCCCATGTTCTCTTTGCACAAAAGTTTCCTACATATCATTATGTGAATTGAGTGGCGAAATTCTTCACTCTGCATACAAAGTTGCAGGTCATTTAAATTAATAGGGGTAGCACCTGCACCATCTCCAGTGGCTTAATTTTGCATATTTGAGCAAGAAAAGAAGTGTTCAGATCACCCAAACATCAAACAAATCCTCCTTTGGTTCATGTATCTGCACCTATTTTCAGTTTATAAAGATTCTCAACAAGACTTACAAGTATTTAATTGTTTCAACCATAGAACTCGAAAGAGATTTGGAAGAGGATGGTGATAGGAGTAAATAATACATCATTGAGTTTGCAGAAGCAACTACATTATGGTCATCTTGCGTCACATAGTTCATTAGTGTCTTATCATCCGAGCTCCCAAAACAAACACAATGAGCTGTGTTTCAAAGCAAGTAAACAAAAATATTGAAAACACATCTCAAAATTTTGAAAAGGATAACCCCTAGTGTTTGATTCCAGAACATGTTGTTAATGTAATGATGTCCTGATAATTACAACCCCCTTTCCTCAAGTACTGATAGGAGTTTCTTTAATATTGAATATGTAAAATTTGAACCTATAAGGAAAGGGTATTTTACTTAACCAGAAAGTCCAAAAGATATCCTTCCCTTGCTACTTATTTCCAAGTCTCCATGATCACAAAATCTTTGTCCTTCCTGGTTTAAACCACCAGAGAAATAGAAGGACAGAAGAACCAACCATTTCATGCAAAGGATTGTCCTTCCTGGTTTGTACCTTATATATGTATATATATATATGTTTATGTATATAATGGGGTTCCAAATACAAAAATGGATCAGATAAGTGAAGCCGAAAAAACCCAACTCATTTTTGTCAAGCATATGCATAAAACAAACAATCAAAAGCAATTCGATGACAAAGCCAGTCCAATCAATCAAAAGCAAAACATTGTACCGGTTGATACAAAGGCCTCTCTGCCACTGCTCCCACTCTGGACCCTGAAAATTGCGCCAGTCGAGACAGCACAGCCGCGGTGGGGTCCAGCCCCGGAAGTACCGGAATCCCAAGTGGCTGGACTAGTCGTGATTGAGAAAGTTGGACAGGTTGTGGTGGATAAGGTTGTTGTTGCTGCAGCAGCAGCAGCTGCTGGTGGTAGACATTGGTATAGTTCGATTGGTAATAACCTTGTTGCTGGTGGTGGTATTGTTGTTGTTGTGGGTGTTGAAAACGAAAGCAGAAAGATTGGCTTGATTGGTATGCAATAAAACCTTCTTGTTGTTGAAGAGCTTGGAACTGTTGATAAAGCAGCTGTTGTTGTTGAGCAAGGAGCAGTTGATGTTGTTGGTCCATGGTTTAATTCTGTGGTCTTGCCTGTAGGGAATGGTTGACTGTTTAGGGTTTTTGGTGTTTTGTCTGTTACTGTCAAGGCAGAAGGGTCTGAGGAGACGATGATGCTCCGGGCATGTGGGTTTTCGACACGTGGTGTCTGGTTTTTTGTTTTTATTTTTCTTTGCCAAGTCTATTATATATATTGGCTTCTTTTTTTCATGTTAAGAATAGTCGTCAAGCTTAAAACTTTCTGGGAAATTTTTTCCGGCAAAACAGGAAGAGATTACTAATCCAGGTAAGGGCTCCTCCACTTAACTCCTCCGTTTCTTGTCTCCTTGTTTATCGTTTTCTTTTATTCGCATTCAACTGTTGAGGAGCAGTCAGTGGTTTGGGCAAAAGTTTTGCCTAGATGATGTTTGATGAAAGGTTTGATTGAGATTCAATGCAAACCAAATATGTCTTTCATAGTCTTTTAAAACTGTCGGAAACAATACAGTTACAAAAAAAAAAAAAAAAAAAAAAAAAAAAAAAAAAAAAAATAAATCAGATTGTTCAAAACGTAAGAATACAAAGTTTTTGAATAGGAAAATTTGGATCATGAAGCAAATGCAGCCTAAGTTTCCAATTTGTCTTGTTATTCATTTCAGTATCATTTATGTTTCATTTTATTGATTGGAGACCCATTATGGGTTTGTGGGGTTTCTCGGTGCTATTGATTTCTGAGTCTTTCTTGAACCTATCATACACTTTGTGTTTGGTTAGTTGTAAGTGAATGTTTAATTTTTACTTAAAAAGTATATGACGCAGCTTTTAGCATTGTGAGTGTCTACCGAATATGTTGCAGGACAAAACAATGAATTGTGTCCAAGTTTTTCTTTTCTTTTCCTTTTGGTTTACTGGGTTTGTTCCATTCTTGAGTTTGGAGGTTGTTTGACTTGATGAATTGATTATCAATTTATCATTGTCTGCAGGTGCATGCCATATGGCATGGTTCTTGATTATTTCTTCTGTGATTGTACTATGGGTAGCTTCTTTATGCAAAATTCTGCATGGCTCATATTCACCTCCGAAGGGTACTTTCTTGAATAATTTGAAAAATGGTGGGTAGTCTGCCACTCTGCCCTAGCTTGCTTATTTTGCCGCATTCTTTTTGTGCATACTGGTTAAATACACTGTATTTATTGAATCAGGTGGCAGTGTCAACAAGAGAAATGTTTTGCTGGTTATTGCTCACCCAGATGATGAGTCCATGTAAGCATAACTGTAAAAAATTGATTATCATTTCTTTGGCTCTAATAATGGCTTCAGTTGTAGCCGATTTCAGACGAGTTTTTGAGCTGTTAGTTTGCGTTGGTGCTTCTCAAATGTTGGATGGGTATGAGGCAGAATTTATCCTGGTCGCGTAAATATCAGCTCCCCTCTGAGCCCTTCTATGTTGATGTTTGAATTTACTTCAATATTGTTCCATGATAATTAACAAGACTAAGTGGCCCAAAAAGGAAATGTGGGTGTTGGAATCTAGAACTACTTACTGATTGTCTCATGGCATACTTTCATTTGTTTGAATTGTTGTCCCCCTGTGTGACTGTTGAGTTTTATGTTTGATGACGAGGTCTGTTTCTTTTTGGCCAAATTGTATAATATGTTACATCGAGGTTCTGTATTTATGTTGTGTTCAAACCGTCCATTGCATTTCTGCAGGTTCTTTACTCCAACCATAAACTATCTCACCATGAGAGGGCATAATATTCACATTCTTTGCTTGTCAATTGGTAACACACTCTCTTCTATATACAACTTTGTCTCTGCCTTTTTTAAATTGGTATGTACTGGTTTGTTAATCTTTTCCCTTTTTTCGTTTATTAATCTCCATGTAGCTTATACCATAAACTTGTTCACAAATTTGGAATGTGGTGGACAGACTGTTTCTCTTAACATTCCCTTGAAGTAGGATGGATCATTTTACGTAAGCACAACACTAAACTATAAATAGAGGTCTTTTAGATATATGACAACAGACAAACTTGTAGATATATACAGTAAGGCTGAGGTCCTCATTTGTTATGAAAACTATTTGACTCCATTAAAGTGGTTTTGACAATTGTCTTATTTTAACAATTTTTTTGTTAACTGCTTTGAAATTTTTTAGGGATAATGAAGCCTGATGAAAAAAAAAGAAGAAGACATTAATAACTGATACATGGGTTGTGTTTACCTAAAAATGGATGTATAAATTTTTTAATAAAGGTTACTAATAAACTAAGTGAACATATAATAAGTATGTGTATTATAGACTTATGGTCACCCTTACACTTAGAATGCAGTCAAGTACCAATTTATACAAGGGTTGTTTCTCCATCCATTAATGTATCTAGAATAACGGCGCTTGGGATGGGATAAGAATTTCCCTCCAGATCTTTCTGTTGGTTTCACATCCAACTGTGTCACAGTAGTTTCAGCCTTTACACTACTTATTGTAACTTATTGTTATGTAACTTCCTTAAGAGTAGTGTTGGTGTTACAGATTGAATTATGTCTCGTAAATTGTTAATCCTTGCCCTTATAACTTCCTAGTATTTTTTTTAATGAATTCAGTTTTGTCTGTTGTGCAGGTGATGCAGATGGTAAAGGAATTACCAGAAAAGAAGAGCTCTACCAGGCTTCTGCAATCCTCAAGGTGATATGCAATCTGGAACAAAAGAGTTGAGGCTTTAAAATTCACTTTGTTTAATGTTGTGACCCAAAATTTAAGCATCTACACATGCGTGGGGGTCCAGTACTAAAGTGATTTTAGTGTTGTTAACTTTATTTTATCCAATTCTGAAAATCCTATTAAGTGTTGTTGCTTGCAGAACTTATGTTCTTTTGTTATCTATGACACATTGTGACGTATTTTCACCAGAACATTCATTTAGACTTCATAGCATGTGAAATTGGATATGCAGGTTCCACATCAACAAGTGAAGGTTCTGGACCATCCAGATCTCCAGGTTTTACTCAACTATTGAATTAGTATAATTCCTGATAGTATCTTGAGGCATTTATAACACATTCCTCAATCTTTAGGATGGTTTTGGAAAAGTTTGGAACCATAACATATTGGCAATGATTATTGAAGAGGAAATTAACAGTTATGGTATTGATTTGGTAAGATAATCCTTCAGACCTAATAGTTTGCTTTATACCTTCACCTGCTATTGTAGTTTCTGGACTACTGAAATTTATTACTACTTATGTTGTCTTTTTTGTGGTGATGTGATAAGCATCATTTGATGGATTACTGGTTTTGTATAAAGTAATGCCTGCTCTTATGGTTCAATCTTATCTCCCACTTCTAACATCAATTTCACATGGGCTTTATCAGATAATTACTTTTGACAATTATGGAGTTTCGGGCCATTGTAACCACCGTGACGTGCATTATGGGGTAATGTAAGTTGAGCTCCATTTTTCAATCACATTTTATCAATATTTTTAAAATTGGAAGGAAATTCCTGTTATATAAATGCCTACATATGTTAGATATTTATGGCATGGAAATAAATGTTACAAAAAAATAAAAATAATAATAATACTTTTGGCGACTCTTCATGTCACATGAATATATTCTCTTGCCGGTCAGTTTTTCTACCCTTTATCTTTTAAACCTTAGATATTTGCCAGTTAATTTTGACTTCTTACATGCCTAGAAAGAAAGTAGGAGAGTTGGAAGTAGCTGTTTGATTCTTTTAAACATGGTACCATTATTTGGTTGGTAGAAACTATGAGTAAATTTTCCATATTTTATTAACTTGGTTTAATTAAGATTTGGAGGTTTATCTATGATATTCAGTTGGCTATTATGTTTTCATATTACTGTTGACCTTTATTTACTACCAATATATTGGACTTATTTGGTTTAATGCTAGCTGTTAAGGTTGCAAAAAAAGAAAAAAAAGGAGGAAACGATCAGGTTATCTAGTAATTATGAATACATAGAATATGAGAACTAGTTGAAGCATCTTAAACTCACTCTGAATTTTAATCATATTTTCTGTTTTTTGTATTTCCAAAGGTAATTAATTGAAAGGATTAAGCCTCTTCTTTTGGCTGTGAGATATTATTTAGCCTGGTTTGGTGCATATACAATAAGCCCAAACTGAAGTTTCTCAATAAAAAAGGTTTTCCACCTAGGTCTGTTGTGCAACATTTAAGAGAGTAGAGTAGTCCAGTGATGAGACTTATCCTGCAAATTCGCACACTACTGTGACTGCATAGAATAAGATACTGATCTGCCTGCCTTGAATGAATTTGAAAGTACCTATTGTCTTTCCCATTTTGGTGCATGTACATTTTCAGGATGGCCAATTTGTGGTTTTATCTGTTTACTATGGCATTGGCACGCTAAAGTTTGGCAAAGTCTATTTATATTTAATGTTTATTTGTGTTGTACTGTAAGCAGGAAGCTCTTACATGCATCATCACAAAGGAAAATTGAAGCTTGGGAACTTGTATGTTCTCTCTTCATTAGATTTCTTATTTCTTTCATTTGAAATCTATGGCATCAATTTGATTCTGCCCAATTCTAATGATTGACAAGTTCTTTATACTGTCTATAATCAGCAAGTATCTTGAAATTCTGATTTGTTCACATATGTCACCTAAGTTTTTATACAATAATGTCTTGTTTTGGTTATATGTTTTATTGGATGGGATGATAACTTTACATATTGCATCCTTTACTCTAATGCTAGTTAATACAGTAGCACCTATCAAGCATATTTGCTGTTAAACCAGTGATTTTAACTTTTCTTTTGCTGCCCTATTTATTATTCTCAGGTTAGTACCAACATATTCCGCAAGTATAGCGGTCCAGTGGATATATGGCTGTCCAGTTTATATCCCATGCAATGCTCACATGAAGTGCTGCATTGCTTGTTGAATGAGCAGCCTAGAAAGAGCTTCCGGGCGATGGCACAACATTCAAGCCAATGGGTTTGGTATGCTTTCTACTTTTTATCGATTGAAAATAGTTGTGAACCATTTTTGCTGTGACATCTCAACCTACGTTTTCCTATTTTCTTCCTTTATTTTACTTGTGAATCTTCTTCAGCTTTCATCAACCAAATGCAATCCAAGTAATAAGATAGTCAAATGAATAGATTTGCGTTTTATATCTGCAGGTTCCGCAAACTGTTTGTAGGATTTTCCAGTTACACCTACGTGAACACACTTAGAAAGATGAAGTAGCTTGTGGGATCAGTTTGGATACTTGCTTCTTTGGTAGATCTGCTGCTTAGCTGGACATATGTTTTTTGTTCTTGTATATGCCTCTGTTAGTGTCTCTTTATGAGATGTTTCAATCGTAAATTGAATAGAATCCTTGCACTCGTGCAAAAATTTTCATTGCATTTCAGACTGACAACCTTTCTTTGTTTTGATTCAATAATAAAATAGCAATATTATGGAATAGCATAGCTCTATTTTGTTCTGCCCCTTCACTACTATCCACGACAAAACGGTGTCGATTTTACCTGCTATTTGGGATCTTTTTTCTTCTTTGATAAAACCTTAATAGCAGAATGGGAACAGCTGAAAATTATTTGGACTTGTGCATTCCAAATAAGTTCAAGCCGGCAGAGCACAGGAACAAAGTTGGCATGGAAGCCTGATGCATTCTTCTGTCTTTCTTTTACCTTTTGTTGTAATGTACTTGGCTTGATTTGTTCACATTAATTAAATGTTTGAGAAACAAATGTTTCAGGCCTAAAAAACCTCTACAATGTCATCAATCAACAAATCTCCCAAACCAGTCTTAAAGAAGCAACAAAGAAGTGTTTTTAGAAAGAAAAAAATAATTATTATATAAGATAAAACCAAGAAAACGTAACGAATTATGTAAGAAAAGAAGAAATGCCCTGTGCAAATATTTTTATTTCATAGAATTTCAATGGAAATAAAAAGGAAAGTAAAGAGAGACCTCATGAAATCTAAAGAGAAACTTGAAAACGGCAAAATGATCAAAATTTCGAAAACAACATATCACAATTTCCATGAGAGAAAAGAGTACAAAATATGTGATTAAAAAAAGAAGAAAACATTTAAAACTGGTTAAAAATACCTCTAACTGATCGTATGGCTAACTGGAGCTTTAACTTGGATTTTGGGGTTAGCTATTTGGATGAGGCCCCTGCTTGGGTTAGCTTTTTTTTGGAGTATGATTTTTTAGGAGTTGTTAGGCCTCGCTTGATCTGTACTAGTTAGTTGTTATTTCTTTTTGGGGTTTATCCCCCTTATTTCATCAACAACAAAACCTCTTAACTCTAAGTTGCACATAAAGACAACGTACTTTGCGCATCGTTTTAGAAATAGCGGTGGCCGAAACTATTAGCTGTCCCACATCGAAAATTAACATTATTTTGGAACCCTTTATATAGAGTTTGCTTCCAACATTTCTTATTCCTTCGGGGACGTCGAATAAAGGTGGAATGAGTCTTCACTTTTCATTTTCCTTCTGCTTTGATGAAATGTGTCTGGTTGTTTCTATCTGTTGTCTTCTTCTCATCCTTATTGCAATTGATTGATTTGTGAGTAATTTGATAATTGTTGGGGTCTTTTTTCGTTGGAAGGCTCATTCGGGTTTGTTGATTCTTGGACCGCCGTAGAGTGGTGAATCAAGTCTTCGTTGCCCTTTTTTCTGAGTTAGCGAGAACTAGACCCAAAGTATCTCGAGTAAAAAGCAAGTCCCAGGGGAGTACTTTGTTCTTCTTCTAGCGACTGCGTGTTTTGTGCAGATGTTTTCGGCAGCTTGACGAAGAGTTGAAGATGGTGCATTGATGTTACACAGACTTGGCATGAGAGTTTGCTTTGTGAATTAAGATACTACTAGACTTGGCATGAGAGGTTAGGTGTTTCAGATATGGGATGGAACTTTTTTGAGAGAGAGAGAGAGAGAGAGAGAGAGAGAGAGAGAGAGAGAGAGAGAAGAGAGAGAAAAGATGGGTGGCTTGAGTAGATTTCCAGCAGCTTGACGAAAGCTTTGTTAGGCTCTTGGGTGGCTTGCCAGAAGAGGAAAAAGGAAGAAATGGAATAACAGAGCTTGAAATTGAAGGGTTCCAGAGGTGAGTGGTGATGCTTGCTCTCTCTAGATGTGTTTATGGGAGGGAGAGGAAGAATATGGAAGAACATGTCTTGAGATTGAAGCTTCCAGCAATGAGTAAGGATGTTGCTCGCTCTGGATGAGTTAAAGATGACTTGCTGACGTTGATATGAGATTATATGAGCTTGGCATGAGAGCTTAGAGTGTGGGAGTTGTTTGGGCCAACTTACGCGCCCAGCCCAATGCTGGAGGCCTAGAAGGACGAGGCAAAAACAGGACCCAGGCAGTTTGGACTAGAAATGGAATCAAGGGCCCAAAGTCAAAAGCACAGACCCAAGTCAGATTTTTTACCAAAACCCAAAAATTGGAAGGAAGCCCAGTACATGCGAATTGCTCAGCCCACAATCCCAAAAAAATCAAAATTGGGCTTGAGATGATTAAATAAGAAGGAAAAGCCCAAAAAGATGCAAACCCACGTGACTACCTAAAACTTTGAAAAGTCAGCAATCTCAACTGAGTCGATGGGAATTAATGTAAACATGTCTTAAAATAGGCAAAAGTCTCCAGCCTTTTCAGTCAAAAGAAGATCAAAATCCCTTTTCTATATTCAGAAAAATTCTGCTCCAAAGTAGGTACCATTTCCAAGGGATAAGCAGGCTATATTTTCTAATGAGATAAGTAGGAAGTAGGGAGTTGTTCATTTGGAAGATCAAACTAACCATCACAGTTTGAGCTCCTACAAAGAGCAGTTAAATTTGAAGAAGGGTTAGGTTTTCTTTCAAGAAAAACAGGGAAGTGATTGCCTTAGAACTGACTATTGACGGTTTACCTGCCAGAACAGATAACTTCCCTTTTTCTTTGCATTTAAAATAAAAGATCTTTTTGAAAATATTGCCGCCCATTATTAAAAGATTAAAAGCCCCACTCCAAGCATTTCTTATAAATATGAGAGAGGGTGAACAGAGCAAAGGACAAAAAAAAAAACAAAAAAAATGATCAATCTCAAAAGCCTTCAAACAAATTGAAGTAACCAAAAGCTCATTGAGCCACAAGAAAGAAGCCAGCTACAAATCAAAACCTCTAGTGTTAGTTCAAACTTAGAGAAATAAGTCATTCAAAACAAGATTTCTCTCGTTACAAATTTGGTTCAGCAAAAGCCAAATCAAGCAGAGTTCGAGTTTTTACAAATATGAAAACCTCAACAAATTTATGGAGAGCCTTGATCAAACAGAACAGGTACTACAGTGCAGTTCCAGCTCAGTAATCCTCAAGTCCAGCCACTTCTGCCCCTTTCAGATTGAAGAGGCCGCAATTTTACCCCTTCAAAAAGCCTTCCAGGGCTTGAAATAGATTAAAGCTTTGCCAAACTCGAACGTTGGTATCGATTTATATATGAAACTTAGCAATTGAAGTGTTGACAGTCTAGTCCAGCACAGGCATACCCAGTCTAGCCCGGATCAAAAGCATCTATCCAGGCAGAAATGGAAGTTCAGCCTTATTTTTGTCTTTCTAGAGTTGGTTTTTTCCTTTTGAGTTTTGTAAAAGGCAGTTCCGCTTGAAAACAGTTCACTTTCTTACCATTTATTCTAGCCAGAACCACCAATCTCGTACTGTGAAAAATTGTGAAGTTCTCACCAGTCTGAGACAAGAAAAGAATTTACTTGGGAGATATTCCTCACCCAAATTCACAATCACTTGTTTAGAAATCAGTAACTTGGGGCGCACGTTATCTATTTTTAAGAAGCATGCTAGGATTCTTCATCGCTAGCAGTGGCACGCTCGCACACTAAAGAAAGTTGACTTGTTGACTAATCAATGGTTCTCAAGGCAATAAGGAACTTTACCCTACCATCACAGGAACAAATATAAAATGGGTGAACAGGAGCTAAAGACCCACAAGTTTAGCAAATGAGAATGCTTGTGCTTGGATTGGTGTTTGATATGCTTGAGTTTGGGTGTTGAGAATTTATTGTTTGAAGCTATGGCTATGGTGGTTTGATTGTTTAGCTGTGATGGTTGTTGGGATGCTTATAGTAGTCAAATGAATAGAGTTTCAAAGAGCATGGCTAAGGAAAGAAAGGCTTAAGACTTTGAAGGGTATGGTGTTTGTGACAATGATTCTAGAGAAATTTATGAGTTCTAGAGATGAGAGGATAAAAGGAAAAGCTTGAGGCTTGAAAGCTATAGTGTTTATAGCCTGGAAGGGTATGAGAAGGAAGGAAAAGCTTGGAGTTATGGTTTGTGAGGCTTTATATGGAAAATGGAGAATTTCAATGATAGGAAAATAGAAGAAATGGTTGTGATAGCTGAGGAATGGCTGGGATGGCTGGTGGAATGCTTGCAGGAGCTGAATGGAGGAAGGAAAGTGGTTTGGTGGTTGCTGAATGGGGTTGATGGCTGCTGAGATGCTTGCAGCAGTCGAGTGAGGGAGTGTTGGTTGAAGAAAAATTGGTGCCCTTTGCTTGAGCCATAAATGCCAATTTATAGAGGGTGAAGGTTTTCCTTTATTTCCAATAGGTAAAGGGAGGTGCTGGAATCAGCCTATTTCCAGTGGTTAAAAGGAAGCACTGGGTCATGCTATTTTCTAGCAGGTGACGCTAGGTACCATAAACTGATTATTTCCTATGGGTAAAAGGAAGTGCTTGTTTCTAGTGGGTAATAGGAAGTGCTAGAAAATGCTTGTTTCCAAGGGTAAAGTTAGGCATATGGAAAATGACTATTTCCTCTGGGTAAAAAGAGGTGCTTGAAAAATATCTCATTTGCTCACCCACATTGGAGAACTGTAAGTAATGGGCTTGGACTTTGGTGCTCCCAAGTAACTAGCCCAAAGTCTCCATTATCCAAGAGCTTCGGTGGGCCTTGTGGACATCCGTAACCTTCCACACCACAATCCCTCATACAAGACCCGTAAACCACATGACTTGGGTTCATGTGAGCTTGATAGGTGATTGGCATGGGAAAAATGTATTATTAGTTTGGCCTGACATGTGCACTATTTCTATATTTATTTAATGAATTAAATCCCAAAATACAGCTTTGATTAATGCATGACTGACATTATATGTTATATTGGGCTTTAAAAGTCTTTGAGCTTCTCGTGATTTTTTAGGCCTCAACAATAATCAGACCATGTTTATAGTTTTCTTGATTTTGAAGTTAAATAAGCTATCTCTTGCTTAGGCAAGTGTTGTTTCATCAGCCTTTCAGTTGTTTCAAGGGCTAAGAACTTGGATCAACTTGTGCATGAGAAAGGTGAACCCTACAAATACAGGTAGAATGATCATCTTGTAGAATGTTCTTGCTTTCCATCTTATTTTGAGCACCTTTTCTCTTATTGTCTATTTTTCAAATGCCATATAAATGTAGAGTGCTGCTATATGAACCCTAAAATTAACTAAGTATATATTATGATTTAAGTACACCATAATATTTTAATCAAAATGTAAAATTAACTAAGTGCACCCAAATATCAATCCTAAATCATGTTTCTCTTTTTAAATGAATTCGTGCCCCAAGTTCAGATCATTAATTCTTGAAGGGCTAAGAATTGGGATCAACTTGTGCATGACAAAGGCGAACTCTAATTTTTTTAGTTTTTTGATCAAATAGAAACTTAATTAGATAAACTTCTACGGTACAATGTGCTCGTTTGGTACACCGTATTAAACTCTGGATAGGAGTAAATAGTCTATGTCAGGTGTTTGGTGTCAACTTGTATTATTTAATTACCCGACTATTTTATATGGGTTGGGCTTTTAATACTCTCCTTACCTGACTAGCTAATACAACCCACACACCCCGGTTTAGATAAGACACGCTTAATTATACGTCTAAGCACGCATTCTACAAAAAAAATCAGACGTTCTTTTCATCTTCTTCTCCCTAGGGTTCTTCTATGCTATCTTCTCCACAGGTTATTTTCTTCACTCTTCTCCAGGTATCCATCTCTCACTCTCTCTCTCTTTCATACTCTCTCCAATATGTTTCTTCTTGCTTCTTCTCTATTCTTTATATATTTCAATTTTTAATTAAATTTTTGCGGAAATTAGATTATGTATTTTTTGTTTTTGAAATTAGGTTATGCTTACTTAAGCTAAATCGTAAAAGTGATCAAATTCCATTGATATCAGAGACATCAATGCTTTATCTTTTTGTGAATAGGCACTTGGAAAGTGATCAAAATTCTATTGATATTTTTTCCCAAAGACTTTGATCTTTTTATCTCAATTTCTATCTTCAATTTGCCCACCACCTTAAGGCTTATGTCCCTTCCTCCCCACCCCCCCCCCCCCCCCCCCCCCCCCCCAAAAAAAAACTCGAAGTATGTAATAATATATGAACCTTTTATTGCTTCTGTTTTGCTGCTATTTCTGTATATGCAAGCCGAATGGTATTTTGTAGTCTTCTGTCATGTGTAGAATTCTACTTATTGTTGTATTATTCTAATTTACATATAGTCTTGTGTAATACATGATTATTTATATTGCTAAAATTAATGCATGGTTATTTATATTACTTTTATTGAAAAAATTTCCTTTATATTATGCCTAGATATGGATGAAAGAAAAAGAAAGCAAGTGATGAGAGAACATTCCTGACATTGGATGGTGCTATGCGAAAAACATTTGTTCTTCTCTTACTTGGGGCGAGGGAGCTGTGATTCACTCTTTGATGTAGTTTGGTTTATAAACAACTTTCCCTTTTGCTTTTATCACCTTAGTATGTGATCACTTTGAATTATACATTATTTGGTACTGTTTTTATTAACGTATGCGAGTATGTTGGAATTTTTATGAGATACTACAATTATGATAATGGGTTATATGAAAAAAGATCTTGGCAAAAAAAATTGAAAAACAAATATTGTCATATGAATCTTACCAAAAAAAATTTCTGCCATTTAAATCTCAATTTCCATTAAAATTATCAAAGAATTTTTTTTATTTTAAAAATAGTCTGATATGATGTTGTCCGGAACATCACCAAACACAGTATAACTTAGTCATACTATTTATCCGGAACAGCACCAAACGCCTTATAATATTATGGATAAATAGTCAGTACTCTTCGGAACAGATTAATACTATCTGACGGAAATTAGTCAGTACAGTCCGACGTACCAAACGAGCCCAAAAAAACATCAACAAGACATCTAAAGTACCAATCTCAAGATGGCAACAAACTAACATGCTAAAAGCACAACTAATACAGACAAAAACCGCACTAAAACTACTAACCCACATAACCACAATTAGCCATAAGCCCAAACAAAGCCTACAAACTCAACATAACCAACCCTAAATCAACCCATAAGCCTAAACGAACCCTACCACCACCACCACCTGAATAAGCGCTGTCGCGGCCACACCCACCATCTCATTCGTAATAGATATGAGGAAAATATTATTTCTACCAATCTACCTGCGCATAAGAGCAAACAAATAAACGAAAACAATAACTTTGCTAAAGAACAATTGAGTGATTTGTATCAACCTTCGTCACAGATGATGTAGAATCAAATTTAAAGAATATGAGCGGCGTCAGGGAGTGGGTTTTGGGATTAGGATTTGATTGAGAACATAGACTAAAAGGGGTGATGGGGAACTTCAATCTAACCATGGCTTAGAAGAAACCACTACAAAAGGTTTTTATTCAAAATGCCCCAGTGGACTTATTCGCTAACCTAAAATGAAAAGACGAGAAGAGAGGAGGGGAAGGAGGGACAGTGACACTTCTTCCTTCTCCTCCCTCTATGAAATTTTCCTTTAGGACTCACAGAGTAAGAGAGCGGCTAGGGTTTTTTAGAGGCCCTACCATTGGCTCTTTAGACTCTTCCACCCTTTTGGGCGAACCCTACTAATACAGGTAGAATGATCAATTTGTAGAATGTTCTTGCTTTCCATCTTATTTTGAGGACCTTTTCTCTTATTGTCCATCTTTTAAATGCCATATAAATGTAGAGTGCTGCTATACGAACCCTAAAATTAATTGAGTACATCTTATGATCTAAGTACACTATAATATTTTAATCAAAATGTAAAATTAACTAAGTACCCTAATATCAATCCTAAACCATGTTTCTCTTTTTACATGAATTTGTGCCCAAGTTCAGATTATTAACAAAATCAATTGCTATGCTTATGATAATGATAGTTCCAAACAACATATTCTTAATTAATCATGTTGATGCACTAAAACCAACAAGGCGTTTGTGTTTGGTTATGTTCATTAATAAACTTCCAAGTTGATTCCAAAATTTCAAAAGTAACCCAATTTGCATATCTGCATAATTTTAATAATCAACAAGGCAAGTATAAAATAAAGAAAAAAGAGTTATCTGCTACAATTCATGCCAAAGTGGTAGCATGCCAGAGTGTTCATATTCACAACCTATGGTGCAAATTAACATGGAAAATCAATCGACTATGAAGATTTGGAAATTATTTTATGTAGCAATACTCTCTTATACATAGAAACAAAAATAATTAAGGTGGTTTAATTTCATAACATGAATTCATTACAGGGTAACAACTAACAGAGAATGTAACTAAACCATGAAAATATTTCATTCATAGTCAAGGAAAAGCAGTTTATTGCCCCATCATTACAAAGGATGAATATGTCTCTTTTTCTTTTGGTTGAATGTTTCTTTTTGGGTCTAAATTTTCTTTCAACTTAAGGGTGATTGCGAAGTTTGTCTAATTCCCAATGTTAATTTTTTACAGAAAGCAAAATTTGGGTTTGTAATCGAATCTACATAATTTGAACAGAACATAACAACTCGAAGGGAATACGAAAGATAATGAGATGTAGAAACATGGTAATCAAATGCGCATTTGGCTAGAAATTTTGAATATTAGTTGTAAAAATCAAATTAAGCAATACAAAAACTTCTCTACATTTGATTAAGGTTGAATATGGTGAGTATGGTGTACTTATTAAAATTATATGGGTTTACTATTGATTTACCTCCTGAACTTGTATGCTACTTTCAATTTGCACCCCCACCTTTTTTTAAATATTTTTTTGGAAAATTGAGTACGTGAACTAATTTTTATTGCCAATTCCCCTTACCATCTAAATCAACAATATGTCATCCAATAGTCTCTCAAATCATTAAACCCCCACGATTGGGAACTGATGATTGGCTCTGTCTACAAAAGTTTTTGGATTTGCTCATAATGATCAAATTATATCCGCTCTTGTTTCTACTTTTCCAGTCATTTTAGATACAATTTTTTTTAAAATCTTTTTCATTCCCCCATTCCACCATAACCTCCACCATAGGGACCTACCCACCTACCCACCCCCTTCGGTTTTCTTCTCCTTCCATTCTCCCATTCCTCCATGATCTCCACCCTTCATTCTAGACCAATCCCCCCACCCTAAACCTTAGAACCCACACATCCACCCCCTTCGGTTTTCTTCTCCTTTCATTCCCCCATTCCTCCATGACCTCCACCCTTCATTCTAGACCAATCCCCCCACCCTAAACCCTAGAACCCACACATCCACACACCCTGCCTCCGTCCCCCGCCCCCCACCAAACCAACGAACCCAAAACCCTAGCCCTCAACCACCTATTTCCTTCTCCCCCATTCCCCATGGCCATCATTGCAAGCCACCCACCAACCAACCAGGATTTGATTTCCCAATTTCTCAATTTCCAATTTCTAGTTTCCAATTCTTAATAGAACATATAAACTAACTAACGCCAGTGCCATTGGAGTGACTGATTTCTCTGGGAAAGAAACGACGTCGGACAAAGGCAGTTGGTGGTGAAATGAAGTTGTTGACCGAAGAAGGCGATGGTGGTGGTGGTGGGAAGACGGTGCTGGTCACACAGCAAAGAGTTGTTGACGTGGCACTCGTCAAAGTGGCGGAGCCTGGTGACAATGTCATTGCCATTCATATCCTTCAGGACCACCTCCACAACCCCCTTTGCGCTCTCTCTCTCTCTCTCTCTCTCTCTCTCTCTCTCTTTCTCTCTCTCTCTCCCCTATGTTTTTTTAATTACAACAAATGGAAGGCATGGGTGGGCCACTTTGTTTATTAAAATAATTTATTTATTTAAGATTTCATATATTTTAACATATAAAATGACCACCTTGCCCTCATATTTAACGGCAAATTGAATGAAATGTTGAGATTTAGACAGTAGGGGGAAATTGGCAATAAAAATTAGTTCGTGTAGTCAATTTTCCAAAAAAAAAGTTGAGGGTGCAAATTGAAAATAACGTACAAGTTCAGGGGGTAAATCAACAGTTAACCCAAATTATATTTGTTTCATAATTCAATATATCATTTATAGAGTAAATTAGTAATTCAATAAATACTTTGGTAGTATGGTGTACTCACTTAATTTTAGGGTTTGTTTAACAACACTCTAAACTGGCCCGGCCTCTTAAGAGCAACATTTTAATCGATTTTTTGCTTTAATTTATGTGCGGAAGGTAGTGTCGAGACGTAGAAAATAAACAAGGTAATTATCAGAAATTCAAACATGCAAAGCCAAAATCAGGGATAAGAATATAATGAAACTAAAAACGATATAAACGATAACATTAATATTTAGCAAACTTGCATAAAGGCAGAAGAGTAATAGTGCTTAACAGAAGCTTCGCAGAAGCAGCACTTGGAATAAAAACTCTCAGACACTCATGCACTCAAAACACTCAAAAGTACAAAGTTTATTTCTGGAGGCGATGATTTTTCGGTGTCTTGCAACTGAGGAGAGGTCCTCCTTTGAAAGCCTCGGGGCTATTGTCGTGTCAAATAAAGACAAGAAATCACAAAGCAGCCTATAGTAGAGCGGCATCTTCACTTTGAGAATCTTCGCTGAATTTTTCCGCAAACAGCCAAAAAAGGAAAAAGCACACTTTTACAAAAGAGAAATCTGAGTTAAAGCAGGAGAATCTTGCTTTAACCGAACAAAACTACATGAAAGCATAAAATTACAGTTTTTACAAGTTGTCTTATATCAGACAGAAAAATTACTGAGGCCCACCATAAAGCTATGGGTGGAAATTGTCCATCATGTCTTCATTGGCAAAGGGGTCCACCTCATCTTCAGGTTGGGTGGCAGATGCTAAGGCCATAGATTCGTTGTCCAAATCAAGAATCTCGAGGACTTTCTTTTTCAAGTCTTCTTTAGAGGATGAAGATCCTGGCTGATCTATCAACAGTTGTAACCTTTGGGAAACACTTAAATCAGAAGAAGTGACCAAAGGCTGAGCAACAACATAATCGGGAGATGGGATAAGAGCTGGGACGATCTTGGTGGGAGCCAGGTGATCCCTAGTGAATTTATCCCACCATCTAATTAAGATACTTCAGACTAGATTAGGAATATAAGCCCACTCTTCATGAACATCCTCTAAAATGACATACTCCCATTTTAATATCCATGGTAGTTCATATATTATCATGAACCACATGAATAAGGTCCTTTGATCATGATGGTTTTTATTCCATTTACAAAATTTCATTTGAAAAGATTCCTTAATTTCAGGAGGAAGATATTCGAAAGTAGGACCCCAAATCAGAAAAAAGCTCTTGAATCAATTAGGGAGTTCTTTCAGAGCTCTAAGCTTGAACTGGATAAACCAAGTATGGGAATAATTTTGATTTTGAAAACATAACACATATTCCCATGCCTTTTTATAATCCCAGAAATTATAATAATATGGCCTAATTTCAGGATGAATAAATCTTTTGGCCCTTTCAGGGCTACGGCCCCATTCTTCCAAGGAAAATGACGTTTAAAATTTAAATTTTAGAAAATGCTATAGTGTTAGCATTTCACCCCTATGACGATGGACGATGTTAATAGACTTAGTTTCAAGTAGAAGAGTTTCATAGAAATTCGAGGCTTATTTAAGGGATGAAGATTATCCCTTAAATATTTTTCAACTAGAAAATTTGGGTGTTTATCTAAATCATTCATTTCAATGATTGCAACCGACATATTCATATACTCATCAAAAGGATTTTCAGCGATCTGCTTCTCCTTACCCTTATTGTATGGAGAAGAAGACATCAAAGGCTTTGGATTATTAGGGGATGACTTGATAAGAGCTGAGGAGCTCTTACTTGTAGTCATCTGGCTTGAACTTTTGGTTCTCACCCTACAAAAATTCTCGAGTTAAAAAGTCCGGGAGTGCATTAGTTTCACCTTTTATAAATTCAATATCAAAATCGAAAGCAGAAAGAATTCCTTGCCATCTTGCAAAAATTTCTAGATTTTTAACATCCTTAAACAAAATGTCTTTGGCAGCCTTGCAATCCACTCTTATTAAAAATTTCTTATTTAAAAAATCACTTTCAAATTTAGACGCAGCATGGACGATGGCTAGCATTTCTTTCTTAACAGTAGAATAGTTCTTTTGAGCTGATTTCCAGAGTCCAGAGGTGAACCTAACCAATTGTTCTGAGTTATCAACTTTCTGTTTTAAGATTCCCCCATATCCTACTTCTGAAGCATCGGTTTCTACGATTTTAAAGGCTTCTGGGTTGGCTAAAGCTAGACAAGGAAGTTCTTTGACTTTTACTTTCAATCTCCTAACAGCTTTAGTGTGTTCATCAGACCAAGGAACCGGGTTCTTTTTCAACCTTTGATATAATAATTTTGAATCATGAGCTAGGTCTTTATAAAAATCTTTTATGTAATTGAGACTTCCTAAAAACCTTTGTAACTGTTGCTTGTCCCTAATTTCATCAGGGAACTTATCAGCAAAGGATATTGCTCGATCAATCGGAACTATTAGTCCCTTATTAATATTATGTCCCAAAAAGCGAACTTTTGAAGAAAATAGTTTCATTTTCTTTGCGGACACTACTAATCCTGCATGTTTCACAACTTTTAAGAAAATATTCAGATGTTTAAAGTGTTGTTCCATAGAATTAGAATAGACTAAAACATCACCAATATAAACAATGGTGAAAGCAGTGTAAGGATTAAATATATCATTCATAATATTTTGAAATTCAGAAGGAGCATTTTTCAATCCAAAAGTTAGAACGTTCCATTCGTAATGCCCAAAGGGGACATTAAAAGCTGTTTTGTACCTGTCATTTTCTGCGATCTGGATTTGCCAATATCCTGATTTCATGTTGAATTTTGAAAAAATGACTGCCTTATTTAGTCTATCCAAAAGATCCTTCTTATTAGGTATCAGATATCGAACCCATTTCAAGGCTTTATTTAGAGGTTTGTAATTTATCACCAATCTTGGTACTCCTCTTTCTAATTAAGCCGTGTTTTCGACATAAAAGGCGGAACAGCTCCAAGGAGATGAGCTTTTCCTTATTAACTTCTTATTTAATAAATCTTGTATTTCAGATTTACAAATTTCCATTAGCCTAGCATTCATTTGAATTGGTCTAGCTTTAGTTGGGATTTTCTTTTCATCAAAATCAGGCTCATAGGGTAATTCAATTATGTGCCTTTTTCTATTCCAAAAGGAATTGGGTATTTCAGCACAAACTTGACTTTCGAACATCTTTTGAATTTCATCAATTTTATCTTTTATTTTACTATTTTGCAGCTGCTCTTCTATTCTCTTATGCTGCGTTTCTTCTTTCAAATAGTACAAATAGTTCTCTTTTCTTTTAATTTTTTCTTGAATTTCATTAATACACTTATGCTTTGGTGGTTGAAAAAACCTAAAGATTATAGGCTGACCTTCTACCTCAGTTCTAATTCCTTCTTCCGAAATAGAAAAAGGATAAAGCATATTAATGAATGGTGTTCGTAATATAAGAGACTGGTTTAAACCTTTCACCAGAACAAAAAGGAGTTTCAAAACAAATACCCTGATTGAACACAGCAGCGTTTGACAATTTAAATTGAATTCCTATTTTTTGGCTATTTACGGCTGTATGTAGAACCTGGGTAGTTTTCTTAAAATACCTAGTAGGTACTACTCCTTCATTTATATAGTTAAGATCGGCTCCTGTATCTATTAGCCCTTCAACTGTAAATGTATAAGTTCTATCAATCACAACAGTTATCATCGCATACCATTTCTGAGCTATCACTCTATCTATGCTATTAATGAATTTCATGGTATTAACCTGCTCTTCTTGTAGAGATTCTTTTCTCACAGGTTCTATCTTTTCTTGAAACTCTTCCATTAGATTTTCAAATTCTAATTGCTCTGATTTTTCTTCTGTATCTTTTTTTGAAAAAGGGCGATAAAGTTCTAGAACTCTAATCCTATTTTTTAACTCTCTAAGTTCTTCTTTCACATCATGAAGTTCGCATTGAAGATCATTGAGAGTAGGTTCTTTCTTGTGAATTTTGTCATTCATCCTGTTTACTATAGTTTTAAAGCTATAGTTTTCAATTGGTTGCCTTACATTAGTTACAACTGGCTGCGGGTTACTTGGTCCTGCTCTAGCTAATGAGATATAGCTTTCTAGCGCTTCTTTCTTTTTATCTGGATCTTCTATTTTGTCAATTAAGTCTATTATCAGACTTTCTTCTGTGGTTAAAACACATATTTTGAGATCATTAAATTGACAAGCGCATTCATTTTCACTATATGAACTAGTTTCAGTATCAGATTCAAATAATTCTTCATTTTCTAGCTAAGCTAGTTCGTTATCACTATCTTGCTCAGAATCATAGGAATTAAGCATTATTTGGCAAAGTTGTTGCTTAAGTTCTTCACTAATGCTTAAATTACTGATTCTATCCTTCGTTTTACGGATTTATAATGTCCTATTTTTCCACACTGATTTCTTTTCTTTACTAGCCTTCTTACTAGTTTCCCTTGCGTATTTCTTTTTCTTAAAGGTTCTATACGGTTTCTTAGGCTCAGACTTAAACTCGTATTTTTCATATTTCTTAGTCCTACGCCCCCCAAATTTATTTCCCTTTTTTTGAGATTTATGTGAATAAGATTTCACTGGTTCAAAACTAAATTGTTCACAGAAGTCCCCTAATTCTTTCTTCCTAGAGTTTTCTGCTTATCAAGCCGTTTCTTTAATTTCATGTTTGTGCAAAGAACTAATCCTTCTGCGCAGATCTCAGAGGATAATTCCCCATAGGTATATGACCCATAAGGAATGACACCACCATTTTTATCTTTAATTCTATTCCTAACCTTTTCAGCAAATAGAATTGGTAATCCAAAAAGAAATTTCTCTTTCCAAAAATCAGCATTACAATCTTGTCTTGTAAACACCTTAGAGTAAAATACATCCTTATACCATCTAAAATGGGATAGGTCATTAGGAGTTCTCTAAACCTATCATGCTGCAATTCTGTAGTTCCTACAAAATATAGAGTGATGGTGTAAATCAGTGAATTTACCTCATCTTCCTGGTAAACGTTTTCACTTTTAATGACTCAAGTTGCTGGATCCTGTACACTTTGCTGGCCAATGGTCACTTGAGTGTTTAAGATCTGGGTCCTAGCCGAGTCGCTTAGGTGGAAATCCCACCATCCTTTCAACTGACCGACAAAGCCGACGATAATGGCTTTAGCCACCCTCCTATCTCCATTTCCTTTTATCTTAGAGGCTGTAGCGTACATCATCATATGTTTCATTGTATTAATGATCTGATATTCTGTCAAACCATCAATATTTCACTCAACTATGGAACTTCTGTCATATTGAGAGGAATTCCGCATTCCGTCTTCCTCAAACTGTAAATCAACTGGTGTGGGTCTAGGGTAGTAGTTTTTAGTCTTAGCAGTTTAAGTAAATCTTTTTTCAGTCATTAACCTATTAATTTCAGGTTGCTCTTCCTTTAACATTGTTTCTAGGTTATCTATTTCTCCTTCAGTGAGAACTGACACTTGAGGACCCTTTCCTTTATCTAACAAATTTAACCCTAATAACTTTTTGGCCAAGACGTCAACAAAGTTTTCGTCTTCAGATAAGGTCCTTCCCATCTTAAAATTTTTATTATCTAAGGCAGGAGGTGGTTTAAAGAACGCTTGACTTACTTTTCTATTACTTTTGGTTTCTGAGGGTCCTGGTTCAGATTTATGTTCCCCCATTGAAACAGATGTTTCAATCCTAGTAACTTGCTTTCCTAAAGACTGCAGCAACAGGTTGGTGTAGTTATTATGCTGAATGACAACACCTACATCTTCTTTACTAGCTGTGCGAAAATTATTGGCACTATCTTCAAGGAAAGTGGTTTATTTGTAGGGAGCTACAATTACATCCTTTTGTTTAATCACCATTTTAGGTGGATGTATGGATTTGAATGACTTCCCATCTTTGGAAGTATAAGTCGAGAAGGGGCTTCCTATCATTTCTATATTTTTCCTATATTCAGGGATGTCATACTTTTTAGCACACCAATCTAACCACGCAAAGAAAAAACAATTTCTTTTCTTTTCTTTTATGAAAGTGGTGTGGGCTTTCCAGAGATGGTCTTGCCTTTCCTTCCTAAAGGTTGTTTCAAACCAAATTCTTTTATCAACATTTTCAATACTCAGATAATATTTTTTAATCTTTTCGTGTTCTATTTCAAAAGATTTTATCATATTTATTTCAAATTCTATATATGAAAATGTCGGTTCAGGTTGAGGAGGATTTCTTCTGAAACCTAAGTCTGGAATGGTTTGTTCGAACCTATAGGCTGGCCTTTATATTTGTTCTTGAGTTCTCCTAAGTCCTGCTAGAACCATTCTTTCATGTTCTAGGTCATAAGCTCTATCAGAGGAGGTGCTCAATCTGTGTGGTTCTAGGTTAGATCTAGAAGGTGCCAAATCAATTCTAGTTCTTCTAGCACTAGAAAATTGTATTTCTACCTTTCCATCAACAAATTGCGAGATCCGTGTAGGCTCCTGATTTTCAAGGGGCCTTTTTGGAGCTACTTCATCCAAGATCTATTTTTCTGGCAGAGTTATATCACTCCACTTTATCATTTTTGGGACTGCCACATTTGACTTTTTCAAGATTGGTTTGGAACAAGGTAGTTTCACCTTTACTGTCTAATTCTTTAGCTTTAGGACAGACAATGTTCATAATCTTATATGAAACCCTGTAAATTATGGCTAGATTTTGGGATCCTGGGTCCATATCATAACCCCGAGTTTGAATATTCAACGTTAAGGCTTTTAAGACATTTATATCAGAAAGGGCAGCAGAAAAGTTGGAAAAAACAGTTAAAATATATTGGGCCTTCCCCTAAAGTTGACTCGATTATTCCTAACAAGGAATATGTGAACTTTCTATGCCTTCCATCTCTTACACATAGCAAGATTGAACTGGGCAATCCTGTTTTGGTAAGTGGTTTCACTGCTGCCTGCACCAAGCCTATGTGCAAATAGTTATATTTTATATCCAGATGCTGGGCGATTTGACGCTGAGTAAATAGCTGGAAACTGTCATTTTTATCAATGAAAGATATGGTTTTTTCAACAGTTTTTATTGCATAATCATATCTAAATTTGAAATATCCTTTATAGTAGATATCAGTGATGGGTACTCTGGGCATATCTCAGTTGGACAACTCCTTTTCTACGTCCCGCATGGTTATTTTTTGAGAGTCTTTTACCCTTAGGGTTCTATGGCTAGAACTGCTACTAGCGCCTGCATCTCTAGAAGAACGGGTAGACAAGATTCTTCTAAGGCTTGCCATTTTAATAGTCTAGGTTTTATGTTTTCCTTCTGTTTCCTCCTAATTCAAGGTTGCTAGTCCCTGCCTAGGTCTCTTCAACGCCTTATGCCTGTCTGGCAACGGGTAACGAGCCTATCTGACAGCTAGACAACTCGATGACTAGTGAGTAAAGGAAACTTGACAAAAAACCTTCAAACTAACAACTCTTCTAGGGACTTTTGGCTCTGATACCAGGTACTGGCCCGGCCTATATATATATATATATATATATATATATAATTTAGTCTTTATTTAATCAATTATATGAAGTTTCACTGAACTTTTGAACCCTACATTCAACACCTTGTTCCCCAAGAAAATAGAAAAATGTAAAACAATTCACACATGATTTGTTTAGTATGAAATAAAAAAAGAAATAAACATCTGGAATCTTTTTATTTTTTTCTGTGTTTTTTCTAATTTTATGGGTTAAAAGTTAACGGTGTTATTTCGGGGTTTAAGTTCTGTTAAATAGAGGGACGCATGTTAAAATTTGATAGGGACACGCGCGACGTGTGGATATTAAAACCAACAAAAGCACCACTCAGAATTACACACTCCACTGAAAACGAAGGGAAAATGGCTGCTGCTGCCGCCTTAGCACCAGCCCCTTCTCTCCGGTTCAACCCCTACTCAACCCTCCGGTTCCTCTCCTTCTACCCCCGAACCCTAGTTCAACCACAACCGCCAACTTTCCCGCCATTTCTTCCCTGCTCGTCCCGGTTCTCCGGCGCCGGTCCAGCAGTCCCTCGCCGGAGGTCCTTCTGCACCGTCATCTCCGGAGCTCTCCACTCCGGCGGAGGAGCCGCCGAGAGGACGAAACCGGAAATTGCAGAAAGTTGGAGGCCGGAAAGCGGCAACAACAGAGTTGGGGAGTTCAGGAAGAAGCTGAAGGTTGTGGATATCAAAGGCGGGCCCGACGAAGGGCTGGAGCGGTTGGGCCAGAGTTTGGTGGTTATGGGTTGGGTTCGGACTCTTCGAGTCCAAAGCAGCGTTACATTCATTGAGGTAACAGCATCAATATATAATTGGAATACATATTATTTTCTTAATCTTTTAGTTTTAGTTTAATAATTTGAGTCTTTTTGTTGTTAAATTTTGCATCTTTAGGTTAATGACGGGTCGTGTCTCTCAAACATGCAATGTGTATTGGGTTTAGATGCTGAAGGTTATGATCAGGTACTGTTTACTAATCACTGGTAGAAAAATCTGTGCTTCTTCTGATCATTGCTTATGTGCTTGTGTTTTTTGTATTTGCATATAAGTTTACTTCACACCAGTTCTTGGGCCAGCCTGAAACTTGCTTCTCATTTAACATTGTGGAATATGTCTATATTTAGGTTGCCTGGTTTATATCTATAATAGTATGGGTTTATTCTGTTAGTTATTTTTTGTTAGAGTGAAAAAAGTATCTTGAGATATTAGTTTCCCTGATAATTTAGTGGAATTTGTGGCATATCGTCGTGTCTTTACTTCAAGCTATGGAGCTTATTGATAGGTAGAATCTGGCTTGATCACTACTGGTGCTTCAATATGGGTGCAAGGGATATTAGCTGCCAGCCAAGGATCAAAGCAAAAAGTGGAATTGAAGGTCAAGAAAATTGTTGTGGTTAGTATTTCTTGTTATCTATGTCTAGCTTGACAACTACCTTGATGGTATGTGATATAGGTTTTTATCATTCCTCCACTCCTGTTTACCTCTTTTCATTGTTTTCCAGTTGTAGCAACTTTGCTTGTTTGAGACCATGTAACTATTTGAAAATGGAATCTCTTACTACATTTATTGGACATATCTGCTATAGTTTACAGTTTAGTTCCCATTGTGCATGCACTGCCTTGTGGGGTGGGGACTGTGCCCTAAAAAAATGTGTATTTGTGGGAAAAAAAGAGGTTAGAATTTTAATTCATCAAACTATGAGTGAAGCATTCTGCCTCAAGCCTGTACATAACACATGATATCTAAAGGCTACTTTTCCATGTTTGGGACCCATGTGTGAACTTATTAGTTTCATTTTTGAATTCAAAGCCTCAAGATGTAAGCTTGAGTTCTGCATTCGTGGTCTTATCATTGTTAGTATAGTCCCACATCACCTGTGAACTTTTGGGATGTGTGATGTGGTGTATAAACACATGGGCACTATTCCTTTGTAAGTTTATTTTCAAGCATGAGTTCACCATGGAGTATATCATGGTACAGAGCAGGTATGTTGTAGAGATCAGTTGATTTGTGTTTCCGGCCTTGCACGGAGGGGGAAGAGTTGAGTGTCTCTGCACCTGGTGCTGAGGGGGAGTGTTAGCACAGTCCCTCATTGGCCAGGTGCCTTGGAATGTGCAATATATAACCTTTTCATAATCCAGTTTTGTAAATTCGTGAAGTTTTTCATGGTATCTGAGCAAGAAATACTGAGCTCTAATCTTGCAATTACATCCTCCCAATATAAATTGAACTGCACAAGGTGGGCTTTAATGGTGGATTGGGGCCCACATATGAGGGGTGTTAAAATATAAAACACTTGTTGACCTAATCCTAACAGCTTTAGCTTTTGGGAGTAGTGCTAAACCAACAAAGTTTATCAATCATTATTTTGGACTATCAAGTTTCTAGGTTCCCAACAAAATAATTGGAATAATTGTGTATGCTCTTCATCTTGAAGGTTGGAAAGAGTGATCCTTCATATCCCATCCAAAAGAAAAGGGTCAGTAGAGAATTTTTGAGAACAAAAGCTCATCTTCGGCCAAGAACAAATACTTTTGGTGCGGTATGGTTCTGCATCTTTGTTGCTAATGATTCTCTATAGTTACATAAACCATTTAGTTCTATTTGTCGTTGTTTTAATTTTTTTGTCAATCATTTTATCTTTTTCATGTTTTATATTTAAAATTCTTTTACATGTCATTTTCAGGATATGCTGCCATTGCTCTTTTTAGATAGATTTAGTCCTACGTTGTTGATTGTGTTGAAATCAGACTTCCATTTATGTCTTTCTTAATTATTTTGGTTGTTTGAATATGCCTTATGGTGCATGAATCTTACTTGAGTGATTAAGACATGTCATGGTTTAGTAAATTTGTGCATATCCAACTGGATGCTTTTTTGTTTGTTTGTAAAAAAAAACATATATATATATATATATAAAAGGAAGGCGAGGAGGAAGATGGAGAGATTAAATGTGGATAAGGACAATATTCACCTGAATTTTGGGTTAGCATTCCTAGAATTTTCTCTTAAATCCATAAATATCAGTAAGCCAATAAATAATGCATTGAGATAACGGTGATGGCTAATTTTCAGTTCAAAGTGAGTGAAGCTGACCTTTGATGGGTGACCTAAGTTGATATAATCTGATGTAGTGTGCATAGAAGTTCAAGTTCAAGTGATCCAGATCATTCACAATTTCATTTTTTTGAAACCCAACTTAAAAAAAAAAATTTACTCACCAGACCTACCATTTATTCTTCACTTGCTGTTCCAATTGGGTGCGTAAATCTGTTGATTTTTTTTTTTCCGGATAAGTGCATATTGAAGTCAATGGGACTAATCTACACATGTATTCAGATATTTTGTATTGGCATACTTACGCAAGTATTCATTAATCATTACTTTGAGACATTTCTTACCTAATTGAGTATGACAGAAGTTCAGTGTGGCAAACAATAATGTATGCATCTTTTTAGTATTTTCTCTGTGGATCTATCTACAATGTCTAAATCAATTATCTTAATTTTTCAATTGCATGATGGTTTTAGGTCGCAAGAGTGAGAAATGCTTTGGCATATGCTACCCACAAGTTTTTCCAAGAAAATGGATTTGTGTGGGTCTCAAGTCCCATAATTACTGCTTCAGATTGTGAAGGAGCAGGCGAACAATTCTGTGTGACTACTTTGGTGAGCACTGTTGCTTAAAAGTTGTCTTATTATTTTTGTTCAAAACGTTGCTGTTTCTGATATAACAGTTTGCAGCATGTGTATCACAATGCAAGTTGTAATTCTATTTAGTTTTTACTCCTTTTTTTGCCTGTCTTATATGCTATTTGCAGGTTTATTTTTGCAATATATTATACATGAAATGTTCTCTTGTCAGATAGTCTGGCAACATAAGAAGCTTATGCTGCCACTGATTTTTTAGACCATTGATTAGGACGGTTCTTTCCGGAATTTTGCCAAGTTCACAGTCTAACGAAATGAACATCTTATGTTCCATTACTGTGTGGCAAGAGAATATTAATATACATATAACATATGCTTTTTCCAGTGGACAGTGTTCTATTTTTAATCTGTATTCATTAGCTTGCTTAATTGTTTTCTTGTTTCCTAGTGCCTGCACGGAGACACATAGCCAAGATACTTTGGCATTCAGCATCTTGAAGATAATACATCGTGCAAGATGTCATGCCATATTATATTTCAGGCCATTTATAATGATTAGTAGTGCATTTTGGTTTTGTACCATTGTTGTCATTGCTCTTAAATCTGCTGTATGTTGTGTAGTACTTATATAAACTCTTCTATTTGTTCAATGAAAAGATTCCAAGCACCAGAGAAGCCTCTCATTCTCCTGTGGATGGTATTCCAAGATTGAAGGATGGCCTAGTTGATTGGTCACAAGTGAGTTGGATGCATTTCCAATTTCTTTCTAAGTTCTAACAAAGCAAGTGCAACAGCACACCAATTATGTTCTTATATTATTAACTATTATTACCATTCCCTTGGCCATTCTGCCATTGATAAAAGGAAACAAGAAAAGCACCTTAGGCATATATAAATCTTTGAACCTTCTAATTAAAAAAAAATGATGTAGTGGTGGTTTCTATTATGATTTCTAATTTAGGGCTTAGGTATTTCAAAACATCCTGCCCATCACACCAACGGAGGTATTTCACCTTTGTACCTTATTTGGACTTCATATGATATATTGTCTAATCAAATAAATGTATTGTGATGAATGAGATAATTGGGCTTCACTAACACTGTCAAATTAAATGGCTCTGATACATCACTAAGTTTTCACTAAGTTGTTATATGAGCTCCAGCATTGAATTCCTTGTGGAGAAATTTAGCATCTCAAGGAACTCCAAATGGTGTTTTCCTGGGAGGATGAATCAGGACATGGGATTATGGCAAAATTGAGATCCAAACCTGTAAATGACTTCATGGATAGTTAAACATTGCAGATTGAAATATAGTCAGTAAAAAAAAAAAAGAAAAAAAAAAAAAAAAAAATAAAAACATAAATTTGATCTTTACTATTGGGATGGGGAGGTTTGTACATCACACAACTAGGAAAGAGGTTGTGTACCAAACTTCCGTTTTAATAATATTTGGAATTGACCAAAGCTAGTGGGTCCTCTTGTTAAATTTTTATGCGACTTCCATTTGAGTTTTGATTTTAATATTATGGTCTCAGGATTTTTTCGGGAAGCCAGCATTCTTGACTGTCTCTGGCCAACTCAATGCTGAAACCTATGCTACTGCTCTTTCTGATGTATGTTTTTTCTTTCATGCACCAATGCCCGTCCTCATTTTAGTACCAAATTCGGATTACAATCAGTGTATCTTTCCAAGATAAAACCAAGAATCGTTTTCCAGGTGTATACATTTGGCCCCACATTTCGAGCTGAAAATTCCAACACTTCCAGGCACCTGGCTGAATTTTGGGTAAGTTTTTTTCCTTTCACATTCCTTTCTTTATTTAGCTTCTTGGGTTGTATTCTTCTTATAATTTAATTCCCTTTTCTTCCTTGGTTTAGATGATTGAACCGGAACTTGCATTTGCTGATCTCAACGATGACATGGCCTGTGCAACTGCCTATCTCCAGTACGTAGTATGTTACCTTTCAAAACTATTTTCATGAACACTATTATCAAACCATTTTCTGGAAAACTCACCAACCAACTTGCTAGAATTGTCAAGTGACATTGTTATTTTTGGATTTTAGAGTAACATATACTTCCATTCTTGAAGGTGAGACACGTCCTTGAAAATTGCAAGGAAGACATGGAATTTTTCAACACTTGGATTGAGAAAGGAATCATAGATCGATTAAATGTATGAGCTCTTTCTTGGTGTAACTTGTCCTTTATCCTCTGCTATAAATTAAATCCTCCTTTCTATGTTCTTTTTCTGAATTGGTTATTTATACGACGACTAAGCTATGCCCTGCTTTCCAAAATTCCAATTATTATTGTCCCCTCATTATTTTTCTTACCTCTCTCTCTGTGTGTTCAATCAACAGGATGTGGCACATAAAGACTTCGTGCAGTTGACTTATACTGATGCAGTTGAACTTCTTCTCAGAGCAAATAAGAAATTCGAATTCCCAGTATGGCCAACTACTTAAAGCTTTTTTAACCAACTCTGTTATTGTAAAAAAGTTTCCCTCTGATGTTTGTCATGAGATTAAAAGGTCTCTGGAATCTTCTATCAAATTCAAAAGATAAACAAATATCTGGAATCTGAATTGTTTGCCATAATCTTCGGTTCTTTCCTCTTATCTAATTCAACTATGTTCTAGTGTGTATGTAATGTAAGGATATTTAGTATTCTTTTTCTCCGGACCTGTTTGCATAAAACGTTGTGATATTATCTCATCATAATCACTGCTCCTTGGAGCTTCAGGAGAAGATTTTATCAATATTTAAATCCTCCCATAACCAAAACATTGCTTGCTTATTTTTAGATCAGATACCAGCGGCATTAATTTTATCAATGTGTATAATACAGATGCCCTCCCACTGGATTGCCACTTTCTGATCTTTTGATAATAGGCAGCTTTAGACATGTGAGCGTTATGACTCAGGCTGATGTTTCATGATTTATAAGTTAACCGATGATGCCCCTTAAGCATACTCTGAGTTTAGAAAAGAAACTTAGTTGATTTACGTTCAGTGAGTCAGAAGATACTCATCAAGTTACAAAAGATGGTGCTTATTTCCATCATTGTATACTGGTACATCTGTGGCAATAGTATTATTCGTTCTCAATAAGTGGCTTTCACCATGTTTTGCATTTTACATTCTGACTCCTATTCAATGCTTGATTTTAGGTCAAGTGGGGTTGTGATATGCAGAGTGAGCATGAACGTTATTTAACTGAGGAGGCTTTTAGCGGATGCCCTGTAATTGTCAGAGATTATCCGAAGGCATGAACCCCTCTGTTGTATCTTTTCCTATTTTTTGGAATAATCATGGAAGGGAAAAACCAATTATGAAATTTAGTTCCACTTATCGAACTACTTCTCTGAAGATATTCATGACACATTCCTATTTCAGGACATCAAAGCATTTTATATGCGGCGAAATGATGATGGGAAGACTGTTGCAGCTATGGATATGTTGGTTCCCCAGGTAATTTTAGCAATATATCATTGCATTTCTATTATTGCTATCCTGTAGCTATTAATAAAATTTTATTGCTGTCTAAAATTTATTCTAGAGGGTATAGTTTTTTTTAGGTTGTGTCTTGCACAACACATTAGACACAGGTATGAAGCTATGCTTAGTTGAATTACAGATAACTAGAGAATGTTCTAGAATGCCAAAGGTTTGCGGTTCAGCAATCCTGTTGAGGCAGGTCTATAGTGGCAATTCGTGTTTCTGGGTTGTGCTTTGACTAAGACAACACAGAATAAAACAAAAACACAAATATGATAAGACATAACCTGACTAAAATGGTTCGGTTTATTTAATACATTGGCTTTAGGGTTACATTGTAATGTATTTCGTTCTATCATCAAAACCAGACCATGTTGTGTCAACTTTTGTATCAATTCAGTGATGTATCATGCCATTTAATCAGTGATGTTTTATAGTATTATTTTTGCTTATAAATTGTGATTGTTCTTTTGTCAGGTTGGCGAGCTTATTGGTGGAAGCCAGAGAGAAGAGAGGCTTGAATATCTAGAAGAAAGGTTGGATGAATCAAAGCTGAATAAGGACAACTACTGGTGGTATCTTGATTTGCGTCGTTACGGTTCAGGTGAGGAATTCTTTTTTTGAACTTGAAAAATTACTCTAGTGGCTGAATGAATGCTGAGAGAATTTGCGCTACTACACAATTGGAAAATCTGAACTTAAAGTTAAGAGTGCTGCTGTTCCCACTCTCCCACCCTTTTCTCTCCCCTCTCAAATTTAGAAAACAAAGGTAGTATTTATGGATAAATTTATACATACAAATCACTAGAAGGTCGTCTAAGTTAACATGATCCATCCAGAATGAACGTTAATAAAACATGAGATGTAGTCGATAGTATATGGTTTATCGATTGAGCTTCTATATTCTGAGTGGATAAATTATTTTATGTTTAATTTCCATTCTCCTTGTTTCTCCAGTTCCTCATGCGGGCTTTGGATTGGGTTTCGAAAGACTTGTACAATTTGCAACTGGGATAGAGAACATCAGAGATGTTATCCCTTTTCCCCGGGCACCTGGTTCAGCTGAATTTTGATGCGATTGCTTTTGGTTCCTAAATAGTTTTCCCTCATTTTGTAAGACTGATTCTGATTGCTGAACTTTTTATGTATAGAGAATTTTATAGCTTCAAGCTGGCTTGGCTTCAATTCTTTTAGGCCTGTAAGGTCTGCAGTATCTCATGTAAGAAATATTTGTCTTACTTCTGCGCACTTTTTCGCTATTTGGTTTCTTGACCAACCCTTTTTGGGATGAAGTACCAGTTAAATTTTATAATTACAGCCAATGCGTGTTTGTCCCATACCTTATATTATTTATGGAATTGAACTATTTACATGGAATTAGAGAAACCGAACCTACTCCCTAATATATCTTCCCCACTGCTTAATTGGTGGTGGGTTAATTTCACTCTCGTTCACGCAAGGAGAGCCAAAATTGTTGACTGCTGGGGTTAGGGTTTTCTCTAGTTTTCTTGATCCATTTTTTGTGTCGTCTCTCTCTGCCCTCTCTGATTGTCTCTCTGGGTTCTTGGTGTGTTGGGTCCGGTGGTTTTCGCTTTCTTTGTTCTTTGTAAGGAGGGCTGCGTCAGCTCTTCGTGTTCCTCACTCATAGGCTCTGTGTTTGGTTGCTCTCCATCCTAGGGTCTGCATTTGGATTGGAGACCCTCTTTCCCAAGGTCTTCCTCCCATGGGGCTTGTGTGCTTCTGTTCTCAATGTACCAGGTTGGGCTCCATTTTTTTATTTTTTTATTTTTTATTTTTCTATGGGGCTGTCTGATCTTGATGGGGAAGTGGCTCTCGACGATATTGAGTGCTCGCTTGGGAGTTGTATGGTGCTTACACATCGGGCAAAGGTTGGAGTAGTGATTGGTATTTCAGCGGCCTCTGTTCAGATCTTGATCTGAGGTGGGAAACGGAAGCGTGCCAGAATTGATGGTGGGAGAGCATATGATCGATGGTGGCATCAATTTTTCTGGTAACAATTTGGTACCAATGGCTCTGCTGACAAGGGTCTCTAAGGTCTCCCTAATAATTCTTAGTTGGAACGTTTGTGGGCTTGGCATTCGACGAATGTTCAGTAAAAATGAAGTTTTCTTCTTCAAGACAATAGGTTGGTATGGGAGCAAGTTGGGTCCCGATTTAGTTCTTGTTAATTTTGTGTTTTGTTTCTATGGTGGTACGTGTTGGTATTCCTTTGTTTCTGACCCATTGCATATTGTACAACTCTAGCATTGTGCAAAGGACTATGTTTACACAAGAGGTCTTCTTTGACAGAACCTAAGAGACGGTGTGCTCTTTTGATGGGTTTCGTTTTGCTTAAGTTTGTTCATTTGTGCTTTGTTCTCGTGGATTGTTCGTCTTGGTGGTGTTTTGGTTCTGCCCATTGTATCCTGAACAAATCTCGCGTTGTACAAATGACTATGTTTACATAGGAGGCCTTTTTTGACATAATTTGAGAGGCGTTGGTGTGCCCTAGGGATGGAAGAAATCCCCATCGGGTCGGGTACCCATCGAGTTCTCGGCTCTAACGGGGGGAGATTTGGAGGAAAAACAGGGGCAAGTACGGGGATCCCTGATTTTTAAAGAGATATTTAGTCATATATCCATTTTTAGCATTAATAATATAGATAAACTCTATATCATTTAAATTACTTAGATGCCCTATTGAGTGTTTTGGGTTTTTTTTTAATGAGGTTTTGGGGTTGAGTTTTTTAAGAAATCAATGACAGTTTTGTAATTTAAAAGAAGTTAAAAGCCTTTTGTTATGTTATAAATGAGCTTTTGGTGTGTTTCTAAAGTTCATTTTATATAGGGTTTTTTATAGGGAGTTTCACTAAAACACCCAAAATGGGAGCTGAAATTATAAAAAAACCCAACACCCAAAACACTTTATAAACACACCCAAAACCCATCATTACACACACTCAAAACCCATTTATAAACACACCCAAAAAATATACAATTGTTAATTTTGAGGTTGATTTTGGGTGTGTTTCTATGTTTAAATAGTGCTTGGGTTTTTTTATAAATACATGTATAGGATTGGGTTTATTTATAAATTTGTATTTTTTATATTTATAATTTGGGCTCCTATATTGGGTATAATAGTAAATCTCCCTTTTTAAAAATACCCGATCGGAGACGGGGTGGGGATGGTATTGTTATCCCCATCCCCGAACTCAGGCCATAAGTGATGTATTTGCTTTTAATTAATAAATATGTTATATAATATAATATAATATAACAATTAAAAAATTAGCCTAACCTTTGTAAGATGATGAAACTTTGGAATGTCTCTTCTTCTGACCTGAAAATTCCACCAAATACTTCCTTGGTATATGGTACAACACAATCCCAAATACACCAATAATATGGGGTGCTAACCAAGAATCCCCACTTGATTATCTAGGTTTTTTCATGCTCGGCTATGATGGACATTTTGGTGTGTTAGATGGTAGTTATCTGGTCATCAAATGCATTATGCATGAATATCTGCTTCTGCAATGAATGCCATAACAATTACAAGTTATCATAAGCTTTGTAGAATGGTGAAACTCTGTCAAATTAAATTGAGATGATTTTGAATAGTTGAGTGAAATTTTATAATTCAATTGAATAATAGTTTAAGGTGAAATTTAAGTGTTATAATATGAATATTTTTTTTTAATTGTTCTAAAAACTAGGGATTCGGGCCGTGTTTGGGATATCAACCCCCGATGGGGATGGGGACGGGGATTCCTAGAAAATTCAAACCGGGGATAGGGGCAGGTATGGGGAGCGGAGACGGGCATGGTATTGCTATACCCGACCTTTAATCAGCCGTTCCATCCCTAGTGTGGTCCTTTGATGGGTTTGTTTTGCTTCAGTTTGTTTCTTTGGTTTTTTGTTTTTGCGGGTTGTTCGTTTTTGATGTTCTTTTGGTTATGTCCATTGCATGCTGAACAATTCTCGCGCTATACAAATGACTATGTTTGCATAGGAGGCCTTCTTTGACAGAACTAGAGAGGCGTGGGTATGCTTTTTCAATGGGTTTTCTTAATTTGTGTTTGTTGGTGGGGTAGTTTTTTTTTAAGAGGTGACTAAACTGTGTTTTTGTTTTTGTCTTGACTCTCTTGTTAGTCTGCTAGTCTACTACATGTGTAGCACTCTTTCCTCGCTTGGGAGTTTTCCCATGTGGTTTTCGTGAGAAGGTTTTAATAAAGCCATTGTTAACACGTCGGCCTTGTGTAATGTTGGGTTAATGGAATTTCTCTTCCACTCACAAAAAAGAAAACAAAAAACAAAAAGGAGAAACCAAACTTACTCGCTAACATATATCTTCCCCACTGCTTAATTGGAGGTGGGTTAATTTCAGCTCTGAAATCTGCCCAAAAGACATTTTCCTTATTTTCATCAAGAACTGTTGCTGGATATTTTGCAACTTAAAAAAGAAAAGAGAGTAAAATCCGGCCTTTTTATCATTAATTCAATGTCACAAAGTAATAGCAATACATAACCAAAGAACAAAACAAGGCGTCTTATTTTTCTCTCAATTCGATACACTATCTTTTTCCCTTGAGAAGATCTGTAGACCCTTTTATCTACTTCAAGGAACGTTTACTGTTTTTAAACAAATGAAAAAATGATCTGTACAATGGCCGCCCATTTGCAGGCCTTTAAACCAGAAAAAACAAAAAATTAAAATAAAATAGCTCGAGAATAAAGGAATTGCGCCAATTACATCTGAACATACAACATGTTAGGGTGGGGAGTAGGGATTTTGAAAACGAAAATAATTGTTCTATGGAACTTACTTCTGGCACATACATACCCACCATTTTGACTTTTTGAGAGATGCAGGAGCAGGAACATCACAAGTATTGTATTGATCACTAGGAGCAAAACTTGATATTTACATCTTCATTACTTCGGCTCAAAGTTCCACTTCATGAAGATCATCACCAAAACTGCCACCATTCATTGGCACGCGCATCATAGAAGGCTCACTAGGCCTAAACACAGCTGGGGACATGCCTAATGCCTCCCCTAGAGGTTTTATTTCCCCCATTTTGGGAGGAGGGCTAAATACATCATTGGAGCTTCCACCCCAAGAGGCCGTCCGTCGTGAGTGGGGTGGAACAGAGCCATTAGCATTTGTAGCAACTTCCATGCCATGAATATTACCCATGCTCGGGAACCTTTGCATGGTCGTTGAAGATGGGGGCAGAGGAGTCTGGAATGGGTCATTCCTAGCAGATGTTGAGGGAACTTCTTTAGTTGCAACATCTTCTTGCACACTTTCAGCAATAGCCTCCATAGTCTGTTCACTTGATGATCCTAAGGTGGGAATGAAAAACTTTGCATTGGCAGCCACAGCAGGCTTAACTGATGGAACAGAAGGTGACTGGAACAAGTTTGCTGGGCTTCCACCACCTTGGTTGAATGTGTCAACATATCTGCCAAAATTCCACAAACAATATAGTCAACTCAAATTCATTCCCTCATTTGATGAATAGTGGAAATTTTGGTGAAAAGACATAACATTGACTTTGCTCTGCAAAGGGCTTGTGAAAACTCAGTCCCAGAGAAAAAATAAACCTTTTGAATGAAAGGATTTAAATTGAGAGAACTTTAGAAATATTAACTTCTTAGGTTCATAAAATCCACATAAATTTCTAATGGCCAAAATCACGTCCAAGTTGATTGGTAGTTAGGTTGGATGATCTGGTTCTCCAGTTCTGCAAAGAAAACCCTGGTGGAGTGGAAGTCTGTGCTCCCAAAATAAATTTCCCAGTTTGTTTCAAACAATATTATACCACCAGCTATTTAAGGGATGGGCATTTCTCTTCAAATTTTCAAGTTTTCAAGCAGTTCTAGCAAGGACAGAAGGGAATTATAGTAATTCAACCAAGGAAATTAAAGATGACCTTCACTTAATGCACAACATGAGGGGGGTTGGAAGTTTGGTTGAGAGAGACAGAGCAAACTTATTTACCTGGACCGAATACCCAACCGTCCACGAGCTGAGAATTGATTTGAGCTGGGTGGAATAGGTGGGGTTCCTGAAGTTGGTCCTGGAGGGGTTGAAGTTTGTAAATCTGGGCTGCCCTTAGTGGGAGACCCTTCTTTCTTCAAAACAGATTTCAAGTTGTAATCAGACACACCATTGTGGAAGGCCGTAGTTGTCGGAGGAGGAGGCAAGGCAGCTTCTTCAGCTGGGGGTTCAACACCTTCCTCAACCCATCTCTTAAGTTTTTCGTCATAGTAGAACTTATTTGTTTCACCCAACTTAGCCTTCAGTAACAGGTAGAAAATTTGTTAGTGATGATTTACCAGAAGAGACAACATCTGTACTTCTTTCTCAAAAATGTTTATGAGAAAAAGAAAAGAAAAAGAAGGGGAGGGGGGATGAAGGAAACCGTAATACATGAAAGTAAAAACTACCTGTTTGCCTGGGCGAGGTCTTAAGACTAGACCCACAGTCTTTTGCAACAGCTGTGACCCGAAACCAAAACGAGCAAAGCGAGAAGTACCCCCTGAGGCTTTTCCTTGGGCATCAGGTGAAGCCGTTTCCTTTGATGAATCAACCTGAACTCATAATGAGAAGAGATGTCAAAAAATATAATCAAGCACACAGAAATCAAAGAGGTGATTAATTGCATATATGGGTGTTGTAATGCACTGAGCAGGTGTGTGCACGCATGAGTGAACTTTACACATGGAGAATTTTACACACCTGTCTTGGAGTTCTACCAAAGTCTGGCTCTGAAACACTTCTATTATGCATTGGCTTTCTATTGCCATCAGCTGCCCACTCACTTATGGGTTCCATTGAAGCAGAAGGAATTAACGACGACATGGCCATTGTTGATTGACTAGCAGATACTCTGGGGCCCATTGGCTGCTGGTAATGGTCATTACCTTGAGTACTTCCTTGGTATGTGGATGGTGCAGGTGGCGGTAGGCCCCCAACAACACGATGTGCAGTACTATCAAACAAGTTGAGCAATTTACCTACAAACTTTGTAGAAACCAAATTTACAGAGTATCCACCCTGAAAATGGAATGTGCATTCAGAGGGATTAGTCATATTAGCTTGAAAATGATGAACATACAAACAATAGGACAAAGAACTACCTGCTGATGGGTTTTAATCCTCTCCTCAAGAGATAATACTAGCTGCTTCCACGTTTCCACTTCTGGTGCTCTTCCGGTTTTCAAAGACTTTAGTATTGTTTGACAGTACCTGTATTACATGCACTTTGTTAAGAAAAACAGATATGAAAGAAAGCACCAAATAAAAGAAAAGTGCACATGCTTACTTCAACGAGTCAGAAACTCTTCCAACTTCAGCAAGCATGTGCGCATATATGAGCTTATATGGCTGAAATGGTAGAAGGATAAACTGAGAGTTTCCAAGCACCCTTGAATATTCATATAGTTCAGTCCTCTGTCAAAAGACCATAAGGGCAAACTGAGAACAGACTCCAGAAAGCATTGCTTAAAGGAATTAATACAAGACTCTTGTTAAGCAATTAATATGTCTCATTGCATATGAACTAGCAAATAAGAATCAGTTTTCGAAGGAGAGAATTTATATTGAAGCTATAAGTGACAAGGAAGTCGTTACTTTTCGCTCAAAGGGTAAAATAAAAGAAAATAAAGATCAAGTAGAGAAGAAAGATAAATGAACAGGTTAGGGTCAAAAAAATTGAATTAGGAATTAGGAGAGGGGAAAACACTAAAAAGAGAGACAAATGAGATTAGACACTGTTGACCTAGTGTCCAAGACCTGGCTTATGCTATGATTTAAGGATGTTACAAAAAAACATTAACTTTCAACCCTGAAATCTCTGATAAAGCTACCATACAAAGTTACTTGGAGTCCAGATTCGCACTGTTGCATTAAAGCGTGCATTCAGGCACGATCCAGGCACCAAAAAATAACTAGCACAAGGAGAAGTTTCTGAAGAATAAAATGAAGAGATAATGCATAAAAGATAACAGCATTCGAAAAGCACCTGAATGGCCTCCGGACTAGCATAAGTTCGAGGTGATTTCCAGTGATCTGCTCCAATTAGACATAGTCTTGCGCTATCGGAGTATGACTCAAAATTTGCTTCTGCCACTAAATAGCAGATGTGTGCTGCAGTAATCTGATACACAACTCATGTCCGATTAAGTGATAAAAAGTTAACATACGTAAAGGAAAAAGGTTACATGTAACAGTATCATACCTCACTCCTATCCTTCCATAAGCAATCTCCAAGATGAATAATTACGAGTTCATCATCTTTTGTTCTGTTTGCAGTTATCACAGCCAGATTCTCCTCCCAGTCATCAAGCATTTTATTTGCACCAAACTGTAGTTGCATAACAGAAACAAAAAGCATTTTAAGGCAAACGTACTGCTAAAGAATTCAGAAAAAGAAGATGAAATTAGAGAACTTATTCCAATCGTACTACCAAGTGCAGCACTACAGGTAATGCTGTGTTCAAATTTAATCGGATGTCCCTAAATGAACTACACTACATGTATATAGCTATGAGAAGCAACATATTGATCCAAGAAGCAACTGTCTTCTAATCTTCTAGCTTGCATCCTTTATACGAACCTCCTCTCTTACTTTAGTGCGATTCCTCTTTTCTTTTAATTGCTATTGAAACTAAATGCATAATTACTTTTGTTTGTCTATTCACTTTCTAAAGGAAACTAAAAACAGGTGAGTTGGCTAGTATTGTATATAAATCGCTAAAGCCTATCCCAATGAGCAGTTTTTAAATAGATATCTCACCTGTGCAGGTTGTTGAGGGGTATTAACAGCACCGGGTCGATTGATCTCAGATGTAGTGTCAGCAGAGAACACTTCAGCAGGTTGCCCGGCAATGAGCAGGCATAATGTCCGCAAGGGTGATCCTGCAACCAGCTGACGAAGTGCCATTTGCTTCACAGTATCAACATAAAACTGAAGTTGTTCCAAGCCGCCATCCCAACCGGAGGAAAAGGAAGAGAAAAAAAGGGTGAGATGAGTGCATCCTTCAGTATAAACTGACAATGTACCTCAAGAAAGTAACATCTGATTGAAGTCTTCGAATTTAGCATCAATGGCCAACAAACCTGTTCCCCAAGCTGTGAAGCAATAACAAGCGCAGGTCCCCACAACTGACCTTCTTGTGCACATTGTAAAGCCTCTTTCTTTCTACCAGAAACCAGAAGATTTTGTACCTCAGAAGCAGTTGCCTAGGACATACAACCACCCTATTACAAAATGAAAATTTTGATAATTTAGAGAGAAGGGGAGTTGTTATCAGAGTTGTTTATCCATACCCGCATTTGTCCTTCTGAAGGCATTTTCTGCACACAGTGACTAAGAGCACCATACTCACTGAATTGTACACCATTGCTCTTTGCGGATGCAAAAAGTTTAGCAACTGCTGATTCTGGAGTGTCACTTTCCTATCACAAGAGAAGCCCAAAAGTATACAAGATACATATTAGTCATATCTCTATGTGGCTCTTAAAAAATACTCTGGCTAGGAGAAAAGTTGAGAAACCATTCATGGGAAGATATGCCTTTATCTCACATAAATACACACAAACACACACACAGAGAAAGAGGTGACAACATGCGTGACTAAATGCAGGATAACTTAAAAGAAATAGAGTTCAACTTAAGAGAAGTTTCAAAAGCTACAAGTACCAAAGGACAGGAATGTGATTTACCCTCGATACATTGTCGGTTCCAAAAGGAGATCGAAGTTTTCCATAATGTTGACAAGCTATCTTAAGCAAAGAAAGAAGCAACCTCAATACTTTGCCTTTCCTATAGTCCATCTCTGATGATTCACAGTTAGCAATCCTCTCATCCATCCATTTGTTCAACTCTTTGCTTCCAACACTCCCTCCAACCAAGGGACCTGGGAAGGATTGTTGGCACAAAGCACGAAAATAATCACAAGTACTCATTCCAAAACTTGAAGCATCAGTCTTTTCCGTAAAAACTTCTATCAAGTTCAGGACAGAAACTGAGCCTCCTACAGGGTCCTTCACATAACAATAAAACATGCATAATTAGGCCTTTCATGGAACAATGTAAACAGAAAAGTTGTACGCTCCATTTGGCCACAAGTCTGAGAAGGAATTTGGGACCAAACATAAATCAAGTCAGTACCTAATACAGGTTATCAACCGATAAAACGATTCTTTCTAGTTTCAAACTTTCTATCTCTATTCAGGAAACCAGTGGAAGATCAAATAACCACTTCGAAAAAATTTGGATTTTAATTTCCTTCCATCAGCCTTTTGTCAACCAAATGGAGCCTTAATTAATCTTAAAGAGAGAAGGTTTCGAGGCCTCACCTGACTTCCATATGACAAATTCGTGAGACTACTATTGTCCTTCATTACAATGAGTTTCCCACCAAATCCAAAAGTTACTAGGGCATGTGGAGGACGCCCAGCAGATGATCTTCCTACGCTGGGAGCATACGAAAACTGATTGCCACTCTGGAAAGGTTGCTGGGGATAATTTAAAGGTTTCTGATTGCCATAGTAATCATCTGAGAATTGTGTTTGTTCGATCAGCTTTGCATTTCCTTGATTAAACTGCTGGCTAAAGTTACCACCTGGGAGGAAACTTTGGAACCCGACAGTCCCATTAGCCTCACCATGACCTTGACTCGCTTTGTTGTACAAAGGAACTGCTCCGAAAGAATTTAATGACTTCTGCTGGTCCTTGTTGACTGTTGAACCAAACGAATTACTCATCTGCTGGTTTCCACCAAAACTTGAAAAAGCCTCATTGTTAGTTCCAGTCTGAGCTTGCCACATATTTGAACCCTGTTGATTGTAATTACTATAAGACCCAGACCAGCTGCTGTCTTGACCTTGGCTACCCACTCCTAGCGACCCATAATTGCTATCTTGCCTGTACTCACCATATAAACTAGTATCATTCTGGGCTTGAGCAGTCGGTTGCAGAGAGGAATTATACCCCTCCAATGAGCGCCATTCTTGCGCAATTGTATCATAGTACCAACCCGGGTATTCAGGATTGAAAACCATATGTGCTGGGTACCCATTAGTCCCTTGTGAGACCTGATCCCAGTTTGACAAACTACCAGTCGTGCTAGTTTCAGTCACAGTTCCCACAACGGAATGAGCCGTTTGCTGCAAATAAGAAACCTCAGTTTTGTTATCAGAAACAGTGGCCCAATCACTGGCTGAATCAGTGCCGAAGCTCCCTTCAGCATTTGCAGGCACATCGAAACTGTCCACTTGATACCATTGCCCCGTGTTAGGGTCATACTTCCACCCTGGATAAAGACTTTCCCAATACTCCGTACTATTTAGATCCTGCTCATTTCTACTTTCCTCCACAGTTGCTCCATAAGCTTGGCCCTCTTGATATTGCTCGTCATTAACCGAATGGTTCAAACCTTGTGCTGTATGATCTTCATTACTGGGTGCAGTTTTTGATTTAGTACTCAAATTTCCGTCTACTTTCGGGGGGAAATCCCCAGAACTATCTCCCAATTCATTGAAAAAATCTGAGTACGATCCAAACCCATGAATCCCATTTTCTGCAGAATCAGCATGAAACGAACCCCACCCTATCTCCTTCACCCCTGAAGCTCCAGAATCGTTGCTCTTGCTCATTCTGGAATCTGACGTCAATTGAGATCCCGCCCCATCATTATTGGACTGAATCACTCCGTCATCAATAACCGAATTCTTCGACTCTATTACGTTACGGAACCCGAATGAATTCGACTCATCAGGACCTATTTCATCTTTTGTTTTGGTTCTGGCACCCAAATCCTCAGATACAGCTGCAGAATCACCAATAGTCAGATTGGCGAACGCCTTATTTTCGTCGTCTTTGGCTTTGGCATTGGCACCAGAATCCTCAGATACAGCTGCTACAGAATCACCACTACTCAGATTGGTGAATGCCTTAGCGTCATCGGAATCGTTTCCTTCGTTGCATTTGGGGCCTGATTCGGCGGGCCCCAGGTCATCTTCAACCAATTTATCAAAGAAATCCTCGTCGGTCTGATCCTCCACCTGAAATGGAGGAGGATTTGAAGCCATCGACCAAATCCCACAGGCAATTCAACCCTCACAGTCCAAAAAAGCCTCGAAATTGGAGCTCGAACACGACGAAAAACCCGAGATCCAGAGCCAAACACGCAAAAACCAATCTCAGAATCACCAATTTAAAAAATTCAAGCCTAACAAGAAGATAATACAACCCCGAAATGAATGAGATCTAGGGTTCCTGAGCTACCCTGCAAATTCTACAGTGACAAATCAAGCAAAAACAAGATCGCAGATTTTCTTTTTTCTGTTGCTTGCATTCAACGCATTGCGTTAAAAATGAGAAAACTGTAAATTGAAATAAATAAATAAAAATAACTTACAGATCGATGGAATTTCAGAAAGAAAATCCAACAGAGAGAAAAGAGGGAAAGAAATGTGTGTGTTTGACAGAAAGAGAGAGAGTCTGAGAGTAGAGGAAAGCCCTCGATTTCGCACCTCCCACCCACCGAGTCCAAGAGCTTCGCTATTATAATTTTAGTATTTTCTTTTTAATTTTCTTTTCAAATTTTCATTTATGGCCTTTTTGCCTGCATTTTTATAATTATTATATGTATATATGTATATTTGTCTCAGTTTTCAGATTTTCGGAGATGGATGGATTTAATAAAGAACGGTGATGTTTGTCTGATTGTTGTGTCATAAAAGACAGAAAAAAAGAAAGAAGAAAAAAAAAAGGGGGTTTAGGAATATTTATATGCCATTGCCTAAATGTTGAGCTGACTAGAGTGCAAATTGAACCGAAAATCCGGCCGCCACAATTAAAATAAGAAATATTAGCAAAAGTCGAAGGTATGGAGTTTCGAGAAGGTTATGAAGTTTCCAACCCCTAACCTCCAACACTGAATGGATAATTTTCACCACCGAACTGACGAATTCACTTGTGTTATGGTAACACGACAAATATATTTATTGAGTTCCCATTCCAGATAATTCAACTATATATATATACAAAAATTCTCCTATGCGGACATCCAGACTTTATTATCGTGCCGATGCTGATAACGTCTAGATTAACATATCTGAAAATGATTACGATCCAACATATTGAACTCGGAAATCACTCAAAATGTGAGATTCGTTCGGGGTTCAAACGTTGTCTGAATTGAGATCCGTGAATTCCTATGCGCTCGTGACAACACGAGGATCATTCTAGGACTGAATGTGGTTCCAACTAGACTGCCCACGCACCGCCACACGCGCTGGCAGCGCGTGAGTACCCAAAGCGATAACCTACCCCGAAAAGTGGCTGGGAGTGGCCGGAATAGCACTCTCAAAATGGGCTGAAACCTAGATCGAAAATAAAGGTATCTACGCTAGAAATTTTGCAAATCCTACCCAACCAGCAGCTAGAGAGTGGAAAATAGCTAGAAATACATACTTCACTCGTCCGATTTGGTGGCCGGATGACGGAGATCGAAGGCTTGGAAATTCTATCAAAATCGACGACTTTCCTTCTAGTTTTTCAGCGGTTTTGCGGCGGCTGGCGGCGGAATGTGGTCGAGGTTTGAAGACAGAACCGAGCTGGTCATTTTGGCACCGACGGCAAGGGCTGGGGCTCAGGTGGCTATGGAGGTGAGAAGATGGCGGCTGGAGCAAAATTTCGAAGGGGGGTTTCTGCGCGACAGGAGAGAGAAAAAGGAGCGTTTTAAAAATTCTGACTTTGAAAATTACTATTTTGCCTCTCTACGTATTTTGACCATATTTTCTTCATTATAACTCCGATTCGAGCCTACTACCTGTCTATGGACTCGTTTCGTCGCGCTCTACGCAACAGTGCAAGTGGAATTGCCAAATTCTTTTCCGGTCAAAAAGTCAACTTTTCCTTAATAAGTTATTCTCCGGGCAAAGTTGTCCTTTCCTCCTAATAGTTTAATAGTTAAATATTAATTAAGGTTTGGGTTATTACAACTTATCCCTTGGGCCTAATAGCCTTTTGGGCTATTTTGTCAATTTCTTTTTAAATCATATTTAAAAGCCCAATCCAATATTTCTATATATCAATATTAATTCCATAATTAATCTTTTAATTATAATTTAACTATTAAATTATAAATATAGTTTTACTTAATTGATCCAGTCGAACTATTTGACTTTGGTCAATTTCTCCGGTCAACATGTTGACTTTTGACATTTGATTATCAACCTTTGACTTGTGTCTCCTCATTTCATTGCTCCTCATTTGTATCTCTAATCACATTCTTTGGGTGTGCAGATCCATAGGTCCTTTTGAGCAATGTAGTGGGTTGACTCAACTCCTCAGAGATGATATACAAATTAAATTCCACAATTTAATTCATCCTATTAATAAAGGTTAATTAAAACCTTTTAAGACATCCACAAACCATGTTGTCGCCTAGCAGCAAGTCATGGTTATCCGAGTTAAATGAGACGTTGTGAAAGAATCTATTCAAATTGGAATAACCATGCAATTGAATCCTTCTCTTATGTCAATACTCCTTATTCACATTATTAGATCATGGAATTGATTATCTTGGTAAGATTTGAAGGCTTATTCTTTCAAGTCTTATCCACTACTCTGCGCAGAGATTTGACCAGTAATATATTGGAGTATTCTCTCTCTTTTACTGAGAGTAGAGACTCTTTGTTGTACATTCATTTACTTCCATGACTCTATTGAGAATCTTGACGAGCACCTTTAAGCTATGCCTAATTCAACATGACCATATAGTGCTCTCAAAGATTAACAACATAGCCACAAAACATCTATGATGCCTCAGGTCTAAGGATTAGTTTGCACCATTGCAATTTATGAGTTCTAGTTTGACATGTGAGTAAAGACTTCTATGCTGACTCATGTGTTGGATTGCATTTAGTGTACTTGTTCTTCTATAAGCACCTACACACATATCGATATGTCTTCACACCTAATGACTTGAGACATTGTCATTCCCTACATATAGAGACAATAGTGTGTATACTGGTCTTTGTGGAATATTGACGCCCAATCAATATTCCTATGACCAGGAACATATTCAAGATTTAGGGATGATGAGAAGTCTCCATATATGCAATCTCATTACATAGCTCTCATATCCACTTGTGTATTTTTTGGACTATGGTTGTTCTACATATTGAAAGATAATATAGGATGATCTAATGTATAAAACAACCTTTCTTTCCTATTGATAACATAATATGTCTATTATCAAAGATATTCTTAACTCTAACTATTACATAATTAGTTGGCTTTAAGGGCATATTTCTAACGCAGATTAACAAGGAGAGCAACTTTTGGTCTCGGACCCTGACCAAAAAGTGGTCGACAATGGGGGAAAAACGGCCGGAACCATAGGCCCAAAATGGGTATTTGAATCAATCCCCAAAACTCCAAAAATAATCCACACTAATTACATAAACAGGTATAGCATAATGAGGGGATGAATTTTCATACCTCACTCGACGGATTTAGCCATCGAAATAGCTGAAAGACGCTAAAACACCATCGAAAAACTTATCCCTTTTTATAAGGAGGTAGGTTGTAATATCCCGACCCAATTTTAATTATTCATTTAAATTAATTATTTTATTTAATTATGAAATTAAAATTTTACTTTTGGGATAGGGTTATTTTGGTCATTTTTAATCCAGTAGGATTTTGGGGAATTAAATGGCACCATAACGTAGATTGCGTCGATACGAGTTTGTAGACATGTAGTGGGCTCAAATTGGAGTTGTAACGAAGAAGGTACGATAAACGGAAGTTTAGTGGCACAACCGTAAATATTTCAAAGTCTGTTTTGAAAAAATCTGATTTCCTTCTCTCTCTCTCTCTCTCTCTCTCTCTCTCTCTCTCTCTCCCTCCCTCCCAATCTCTCTTCTCACTCTTGCACGAATAACCCCCCTTTAAACAGCCGTCACTATTTTGGGCCACCACCACCACATTCGAACACCGTTGGCCACGAGACCGATACCCAAACGACCGACTCAGCTTCCTCTTCCCGACCTACCCCACGTCTGACGAAACGCGTAGCTACTGTGGGCAGAAAATGTAGAAAATAGGCCGTATTTTACGTAAACTTTCTGGCGTTCGTTTCGACCATTCCGGCCACTAAATTTGTCGATCCAGGTATGCTTTCTCATCCTTTCAACGTGACATAGCTGATGGTTGGGTTGGTTATGATCGATTTTGAAGTTTTGAGGTTTGATTTACTACTTAAAGTTTTGGCCGATTTTTGGCAAGTTCCGGTCACTTTTTGACCGTGGCCCAAGAACAAAAATTGCTCTGCTTGTTGTCCTGATCACATATGTATAGGTATTGTTGGGTGTTTCGAGAATTTTTCGGTCGCCGGAATTTTCTCAAGACACCCATGTGCTGTCGACGCATGTGGTGGCGCTTGGGCCAGGTTTGGGTGATCCATTTGGTCTTGTCAACTTGGTATCAGAGCATTAGGTTCAATTTCTTGTGGACTCCACACCTTGTGTGCATCCTTAGTATGTGAGTAGTGTAGTGTGTTCCATCACGGAATAAGACATCCTCAATATGGATGACCTCGTTAGACGTTTCAAGTACGTCTTGCAAATTGTTTCCTTTGTTTCTCAGTAAACTTTGACCTCTAGGTTTTAAGGTTGCTTGAATTGGTTAGAGTCTTAGTTAACTCAATTCTCGATTAAGGGTGTTTTTAGGGAAATTCGAAAGGGATAAAGAAAAGAATCAGAGAAAAATGAAAGTTAGCATACCTTGATAAGTTTAGGATGTTACCCTTGTGTAGCATCCTGGGAGAAATAAGGTAGTCGTGGGTATCTCAAGTTCGAGAGCCCAGTGAGCCTTGGCTTGACGACAATGCAAGAAAGGAAAGGTATAGAAGTTTGCATTCAGGCTGAGTGTTGTAGCAAACATAGTGAGGTGATATATTGGTTTAAGAGGGGTAAGGACAAGGTTTTGTCATAAAGGAAATACTTGAGTTGGCAAGGCCGACACAGAGAATTGATTAATCATGGTAGCAAAGTTAATAAGGGTTGTGTTGAGTATCGTTCGAGTTGAACCGATGGGAGTGCATATGGGTTGTTATACCCTTAAACTGTATGTGTTAGAGTTGGTTTTGGTTGGGCATGTTTTCAGAGGAACGAATAATTGTGGATTCTCAGGAAATGGAAGTTGTGTTATATTGGGAAGGTGTTGTGGATGAGTTGGAATGATGAGGAAACGAGTGGGAACTAGAGGAGTATTTGTGGGCCCAGTACTCATACCTCTTTCGGCGACATGTATGAAATTTTGAGGACGAAATTTTTATAACGAAATTTTTATAAGGAGGGTAGGTTGTAACATCCCGACCCAATTTCAATTATTCATTTCAATTAATTATTTAATTTAATTATGAAATTACAAATTTGCCTTGGGGATAGGGTTATTTTGGTCAGTTTTAATCCAGTAGGATTTTGGGGAATTGAATATAGTTCGCGTCGATACGAGTTCGTAGACACATAATGGGTTCAAATCAAAGTTGTAACGAAGAAGTTACAATCGACGGAAGTGCAATGGCACAACTGTAAATATTTCAAAGTCTGTTTAAAAAAATATGATTTCCTTTTCTCTCTCACCCTCTCCCTCACGATCTCTCTTCTCCCTCTTGTACGAACAACCCCTCTTTTAAACAGCCGCCACTGTTTTGGGCCACCACCACCACATCCGGCCACTGATGACCACGAGACTGGTACCAAAACGACTGGCTCAGTTTCCTCATCCCAACCCACCCCACCTGTGACGAAACCCGTAGCCACTGTCGCCGGAAAACTAGAAAACAGGCTGAATTTTACTTAAACTTTTCGGTGTTCGTTCCTACGATTCCGGCCGCCAAATTTATCGATCCAAGTATGCTTTCTCATCCTTTCAACGTGACTTAGCTGATGTTGGGTTGGTTAGGATCAATTTTGAAGTTTTGAGGTTCGATTTACAACTTAAAGTTTTGGCTGGTTTTCGGCTCGAGTTTTCGACAAGTTTTGGTCACTTTTTGGCCGTGGCCCAAGAACAAAAGTTGCTCCATTCGTTGTCCTGATCACATAGGTGTAGGTATTGTCGGGTGTTTCGAGAATTTTTCGATCGGTAGAATTTTCTCAAAACACCCACACGCTGCCGACGCTTGTGGCTCTTTATTATTCAAAAGCCATGTCAAAAAAAGTTGGGGTCATATGCTTAAAGAAAAGGGACAAGACACCCTTGAAACAAATAAAATAATACCTAAACTACTATAAAGCCAGACAAAACACGGTTGGGATCACATTCTTCATTAGAAAAATTGGACAAAAACACGCCTTAAAAAAAACTGAAATAATTAAATTCATATTAATAGTTTAAATGAGTATTATTGTAAAACGAAAAAAACTAAACTAAAAACAAAAAGTTCAAAAGCAAAGATACGCGGGAGAAGTCGTGCAAGAATTATTCATTTCCAGTTTTCAAATTCACGTTAAACAACTACCTTGTAGCTTACACATATATATCACAATCACCTTACTTTTATCAATCATTATGGTGATCTCTTTCTCTCTCTCTCTCTCTCTCTCTCTCTCTCCTCCTCTCTCTCTCTCTCTCTCTTTCTTCTGTTTGATTATAATGAGTCTACGATCTTTCACACAAAGTGAAATACATAGAACTCTTACGTGATGCCATCTTCCTTGAATCACGACCTCATAACTCATTCAACGGTAGCAGCAACAAAAGCAAGTCACGAACGACTTAATGCTTTTGCTCTGTCTCAAAGCTGTTTCAGTCCTCTCTTTATGATGAGATTAGGGTTAAAGAACATGTTTGATGAGAGCATGGTCTTAAGCTTATATAGGTCTACGTCAAGTTGTCTCTACTTATCATAGAGGCCTAACTTGACTAACACTATAGGCCCATCAAGCAATAGTTCACACAAAAGGAAATAAATAGGACCCCTTTAATTGGCTACAAAACTTTCCTTAATTTACAAGAATTTGTGTTGCATGTATAACCTAATTTAAACTCTTACCAAACCTCAATAAGTCGATGACTCATAAAAAAATATAACCTAGCTTCTAGTGCATTGATCTATATAGGAATATAACATCTTCTAGTCAGCTGCACTATTTCTTCTTTATACTTAGTAGAGATGGCGCCAAATTTGCACAAAATCAACAATTCTAATATATGTGATTTAGTTTTCCTTTATTGTGATATTGTAATCCCATGTAATTATAGGTAATTATAACCAAATAGGAATGTACTTGGAGACCAAGTATCCACCACTTGTAGAAATATTCTATTTCTATGTGAATAGAAATCATCCAATTTCAAACCTAAGTGAATCTCTAACATGGTATTAGAGCTCTAAACCCTAGCCTAGCTTCCCTGCGTTTTCTCTATATGTTTTCTCTGCCCACATATGCCTTCTCTATTGAACCCTCTCTAGCAAATACTCCTCTCTAGTCCCCTCCTTCTTCTCTAATGGCTGCTTCCTCGTCTGTGACGTTGCTTGCTTCTCATATGGCCTCTTTTCATAATATCTCCTATGTTGTTTCTATCAAATTGGATTCTATGAACTACATCATTTGGAAAACTCAGTTCTTGCCTCTTGTTGAAGAGTACTGGTTTAATCAGATTTGTTGGTCAAACAAATTCATGCCTCTCTCAATTTACCTCTGATGGCGTCACTCCCAAACCTGCCTATGCAGACTGGCATAAGCTTGATCAACAGTTGCTCAGTTGGATCAATTCTACACTCCCTCCTGGCGGGCTATCTCAAGTTTGTCGTTGTCTTACAGCTCGTGATGCCTGGATCTCATTGGAGAAATGTTTCAATTCGTAGTCCAATTCTCGTATTCTTCAGTTGAAGCACCAGTCGTTAACCACCAAATGAGGTGCCTCCTCTATCACTGATTTTGTCAATCAGATGACTACTCTTATTGATAGTTTGACTCTTGCTAGAAAACATGTGGATGATGATGATCTTATTGACCTCATTCTTAATGATGTCAGACCGGCGTACGAGAGCGCCGTCAACTCTATTCAGTCCTATGACCCTCCTATGGCCCTTGATGTTGTTATTGCCTTTTTATTGACTGCTAAGACTCGTGTTAGCGCTAAAACTAAATAGATAGAAATAAAGCTAACTTACAGGTGACGTGGAAGGTTTGGACTCGAGAAGCCTTCGGTCTGTGGTGTCTTCCCACGAGGGGTAATGCCGGATTCTGCCTGGGGAGAGAAACGGCAAGTGAAGCCTATGACACCAGTGTTGTGCCGGCCGAAGGTCCTCCGATGCCAAAATTAGTGACTAAGAGCGATTCTATTGACACAGTGAAAGCACAAGTCAAGTAAAGAAATAGTCTTACCTCTTGGCTGGGCCAAGGGGCTCTATTTATAAAGAGTATTTGTAATGCTCTTAGTACTTAGTTTCGATGTGAGACTCGTGAGAGTGTCTTCAACGGTCAACGTGTGCCCTGATAGGTTCTAGTGGGAGTTCTGAGGTGATCTGTCAGAATCGGTCGAATGTGTTGACTGGTGGCTCGGCATTGTTTGCCGAAGGTTGGTGTCTTTTGTCAGTTTGTAGGCACTCCACCGATTTGACCAGTATGAATCGGTGGAGCATGCCGATCGAAGTTTCGGCATGGCTCACTGAGCTGGTCTGGCCGTGCAGATTTTGCCACGTGTTAAGACATGAGTAGGGGGTCAGATATGGTACAAACAACTCGTATGGTTGATTACACGTCTTCCATGACGTCTGATTCTACCACTCAAGTGTTTTACACTAATCATGGCCATGGCTTTTCCAACTGTGGGTCTTTCTTTTTCCGTGGTGAATTCTCTGGCTCTTGTGGTGGTTTTTTTGGCCTAGGTTCTTCTCTTGGTCAAGGCATCCTTTCGCTCCCCTCATAAGCTCCACCTTCTGTGTCTGTTGTTGTTAGCCATGATGGTTTCTCCTCTCCGTCTTATGGTTCTTCTCCTGGTTTTCACAATAGTTGTTATAAATGTGGTGAATATGGTCATATATGGCTCTATGTTGCCCTTGCCCTCATGTTGCTCCCCAAGCCATGGTTGCCTCTCATACTCCCACTCAGTCAACCACCTAGTTTACTGATAGTGGTGCCTCGGCTCACATGACAAATGATCTTGCTCATCTCCAACTCTCTTAGAATTATGGTGGTTCGGATCAAGTTTCAGTGGGTAATGGTCAAAGTTTTCATATATCTAATATTGGTTTTGGTTCCATCTCTCAATTCCATTTAAATAAAGTTCTTCATTGTCCTTCTGCGTCTCATAAAGTTCTTCATTCCATTTAAATAAAGTTCTATCAGTGCTAGTCTTCTCCATCCTCTTACTCCTTTCCTACCACTGACGTGGCCCTCCTTGGTATTCGTACTTCTTCTCCCTTGTGGCATCAACACTTAGGTCATCCCTCTCCTGCTGTCTTTCAAAAGATTTTTGATCACCTTCCTCTTCGTGGTTCTCCTAACAATTCCTTTTGTTCTGACGCAACGAGATATAAGGGATATGGAGATCGAACGATAACCCTACAAGTAAAAATGTTGGAATCCACTAGAGAATGAAGTAAACCTCAAATATATTGATTGAAAATAAGATGAATAAACTGATAAATACAACGCCATGAGTTGGCTTAAATAGAAAACAAAGAAACCCTAAAACCATAGGAAACCCTTAGGTTCTAGAATATTCCTAAACTTAGCTAACAAGAAAATAATAAAAATCATAGCTAAAATCATATTAGGAAAATAATATCCTAATAGATAACTTAGTCTTCAAAATATGAAATTAAACATTAAATTAAATACAAATCTTGACAGAATCATAATTACTTCAAACTTCCTCAACCAATTAGAAAATCCCAATGATACACCTTCCTTCTTTTTCTAGCACCATAATTGATATTTAATTGGAATTTTCCTCTCTTGCACTATTTCCTTCCAACTTTGAGCCATTTTATTTTAATTAATTTTTCACACCATAATTGACCCATATTTCGTCCTACATCAGACCCCTTCACTTGTAAAGAACTCGACCAAGAGTTCTCATTAAAATGAACCTGAGTATATGTTGTGAAATTATTGCAAGCGCACAATCCGCACAAGTAATATAGAGATAAGTGAAGTGTCGTTCCCACAAAGACTGTAGTTTTCTTTTAATTACCAATTATGATTAATGCAGAAGTTTATTTGAACAATTAATTAGGAGGATTGATTAATTTAATTAACGATGGAAAATCAAGTTGATGAGACACTAGAGCATACGATTTCACCAGAACCAATTCCCCTTAATTCTTATAGCCAATTAACCCTAATTACTATCCATGTTGACAGTTGATTTCTCCTAATTCATTCGATATCCCCTCTCGAGCTCAACCAAGAGTATTCTTAATTAACAACCAATTCTCTCTCGAGCAAGGGATTTAGAAAATCAAGAACCCATTAAGTTGTATGAGAACCTACAAGAAAACTGCATGAGTCATGTTAGTCCCTCTCAGGCACTCATTCAAGACATGGTTATTTGTTGTGAGAAGCAAACACCAAACATCTCCTCTCGGTCTCTGCTTGGATCATCAAATCAATTAAATATTGGCCAGATATTCAAAGCATTAAGAACAGTAACAAATACTCAAGCTGGAATAGTAATAAGAAATTAATATAACTATAAAAATTAAGTATTCATGGTTATGCTACATCGTAGCCCTAGCAAGGAAAATTAGTTCATGACAAAAGAAAAGATAAACAAGAGAGTTGTTGTCACAAAACTGATTTGGCTGATGGATTTGATCTCTGGATTCTCCACAACAACCACTTTCGAAAGCTCCTCAAGTAGTGCAGCAGCAAATTCTTGGCTCTCTCTAATATTTTTCTGGTTATATGAAAGTTGTGTATAGGAAGATGATGGAAAAGATGATCCTCCCTAGAGAGAACTTAGGGTGACCTTATATAGTGTAAAACAACTAAACCCTACTCTAAAAAGGTATGGAAAAACTCTCCTAAAGCAAAACCAAATTCTAAACAATTAAGGAAACAAACTAGGAAAGAATCCTTCTTTGACTTGGAAACACGTCAGCCAACTTGCACGCACGTTTTGGGGTCGTTCCACTTCCCAAAAAATTCTGGAAAAATATGAGTAACGTAGCTCTATCTCTAAGCTTTCTAAGCATATATACAAGCCACTAGGAAAAATCGAAAAGGTCTTCAAATCTTCAATCTTCCACAGCAATGCAGTTCTGACGGGATTTCAACTTAGGCTGTCTTGACTTGCAGGTCTGGAGCATTTGGCTTGGTAGAAAATTATGGAACTTTAACACAATGATCTTCAATGTCTTAGCTTTATTCTCCAATTGGCCTTGCACTAAAATTCATTCGAAAGTTGATTTTCAGTTGAAATCCTTCTAAGAGGGCAGAATAGCTGAAAATAAGGAAAGTAAGGTAATAATGCTCTTTTTAATTAACTTTCCCTACAAAAACCAAATATAAGAAGTATAAAAATATAGGAAATAATGCACTTATCAGTATACATGGAACTTGATTTGTAGATAAGCTCTTCAATTTGTGGCGTATGGACTTGCTCATATTTGGATGGAATAATAATATAATTAATTCTATAAACAAGATTAGAATATGCCAGTTGAGAATCAAACTCCTTGTATGAATTATTTTCCTCTCCAAATTCAGATTTATCCATACCTCGAATTTAAGAGCAATCCAATTGTTGTTCTTCATCTTTTGAAAAATCTGTTTGAACAACAATAGGATTTTCAATAGGCTCAATATCTTGTTTTTCTTGAATTTCTTCATTCATCTTGTGGATTGTTGGATTTTCAATTAATTTAGCATCCATAATAGTTTCTTCCTTTTGGAGATCTTCCTCCATTTTTTCTTGACTCACCATTATATTGGGTTGAGCAATCTTGTAACCATTCCTAACAAATATATATCATATTCAAAAGGAAATAATTTTTCACAAGAAGTCTCTTCATCCAACGCCAAGAAATGATAGGATTTTTACCTTGTTGTTTTCTAGATTGTCGCAACTGATCCCACCAAGAAGCGACTTCGTCTTCTAAACGAGACGCAACAATTTTCACCATCTTCTCCTCTGGGATCACTATTGAATCAAATATTTTTTCTTTATGTTTGCAACTCATTGGAGAAAGCCTTCGATGCAGTCACTCCCCATGAAGTATGGAACAATTGCAACATCAAATTCTCTAAGAGTGATTGGTTCCCAATCTCCACGGGTCCTATCTTCTTTGTATAGATGAGCCATTGGAGGCACCTCCAGTCAGGCAAAACCTGCTCTGATATCAACTAATGAAGCGAGGTATAAGGGATTGGGAGATTGAATGATAACTGTACAAATAACAATGTTGGAATCCACCAACAAACTGGAATCCACAAGAAAAATTGAGTAAACCTCAAATATATTGATTGAAAATAAGATGAATAAACTGACAAATACAGCGCCATGAGTTAGCTTAAATAGAAAACAAAGAAACCCTAAAACCTTAGGAAACCCTAGGTTCTAGAATATTCCTAAACTTAGTTAACAAGAAAATAATAAAAATCATAGCTAAAATCATATTAGGAAAATAATATCCTAATAGATAACTTATTCTTCAAAATATAAAATTACACATTAAATTAAGTACAAATCTTGACAGAATCATAATTGCTTCAAACTTCCTCAACCAATTAGAAAATCCCAACAATACCCTTCCATCTTTTCCTAGCACCATAATTGATATTTAATTGGAATTTTCCTCTCTTGCACTATTTCCTTCCAACTTTGAGCCATTTTATTTTAATTAATTTTTCACACCATAGTTGACCCATATTTCTCCTACATCATATTCTTATTGTCTTATAGAGGTGTCAAACGGGTCGTGCTGAGTCAGCCCATCCCATTTAAACTCGTGCTTTTAACGCTTTCATGTCTTGCCAAGCTGACCCATTTAATTTATCGGACCGTGTTGTGCTAGTACATTTAGTAAAATCGTTGATCTAGCCCGGCCCAAAGCCCATGTCCACATTGAAACAAGTCGGGCCGGGCTAAGCTCTTGCCGTGCCCGTGCTCGTGCCATACTCAGGCCCAAGAACCAACCCATTTAATTTGAATTTTTTTCACTTGTTTTTTTTTCCACTAGATAATTCAAATTATAAACATTAAAAATATAATTAGAGGCAAGAAGTGATGAACTATTTGAAAACATTAATCAATCAAACATCAAACAATATGAAAGGGTGGAGGGCAAAAAGTGTCCAACTCCACAAAGTCCACTTCAACTTTTCATCTTTAAACAACTTATTATTTTATATGTAAAGAAATGTCTTGCTTTGATTATAAGAGAAGCGTATATGTCATATGTACTGATTAGATTTCAAGTCCAAAGTTGTTTAATTAATTTGTAGTTGATATGTTTAATTAATTAAGGACCCAAGTATTCCTAAAATGAAAGACATCAAATATATGTTTATGATTAAAAAAAAACTATATAAACAATGACATTAGATGTCAAATTATTGCATTTTGACATCTGAGAAAGAAAAAAGTTAAGTGTGCCAGGCTTGGGCTTGGGCCGTGCTTGAAGCGGGCTTGGGCCAAGCTCGGCCCATGTCGGGCCATGGGCGGGCGCAGTCCATTAGACCTCATTTTTTGATCTCGGCTCGGCCCAAGTTTTCGTGCCTTGCCGAACACGGCCAATTAATATTCGTGCTCGTGCCGTGCTGTGCCTCATCTAAACAAGCTGGGCTCGTGCCGTGCTGGGCCGGACCGTCCCGTTTGATACCTCTATTCCTCTAGGCAAAATCGGTCGTCTACCTTTTCAGTTATCTTCTTTTGTTACTACTATTACATTACAACTAGTTCATTGTGATATTTGGATATCTCCTGTTTCATTTAATAAAGGTTATAAGTATTTATCTTATTTGTTGATGATTACTCTCGTTATACATGGGTTTTCCCCATGTATTTTAAGTATGAAGCTTTTGATTATTTTCAAAAATTGAGGACTTCGGTGGAAAATTTATTGCTTGTTGACCGTGTGTGCACAATCAAATCTCTTCAAAAAGATAGGGGGCTGAATTCCTTAGTCACCAATTCCAGCATTACTTAAGTACTCATGATAATTTTCACCGTGTTTCTAATCCTCACAACCTTGAACAAAATGGAGCCGCCGAACGTAAACAGCTTCACCTTATAGACATGGCTCTTACTCTCCTTGCCACTGGCCACATGCCCCTTTCCTTTTCGGTTGAAGCATGTAATACTTTTACTTATTTAATCAATCGTTTGCCTATCCATCAATTAAATTATTTGTGTCCATATGAATCTTTGTTTGGTCATCGTCTTGACTATTCTATTTTTCATGTTTTTGGATGTGCCTGTTATCCTTACCTCCATCATTACAATAAATATAAACTTCAATTTTGTTATAAACAGTTTGTTTGCATAGGTTATTCTCTCAATTACCAAGGTTATTGTTGTTATGATTCTTCTAATGGTTGTGTTTATCTCTCTTGTCATGTTGTTTTGATGAATGTACTTTTCCCTTTCATGTTCTTTCTCGCACTTCCCCAGCTCCTTCATCCCTGGTGCCTCCCCCTCCACTTTTAGTCCTGTTTTCCTCCCCGTTGTGTCGCCCCCACCTTCCCCACTGCCTTCTCCCCTCCTCCTCATTCGTTCACAGTCACTCATGTTGATGTCCCTGCTTATCTGGTTAAGTCATCCCCACCCCTTCCCTTCCCCTCCCCATACTTATACCATGGTCACTTGTTTGAGAGATGGGATTCGAAAATTGAATCCCAAATATGAAAATCTTAGTTTTTCGCAGGTATATGAGATTGAACCTACCTCGTTCCGAGAAGTCAACAAATTGGATCAATGGCGCTAATGTATGCTAATAGAGGTCCAAGCCCTCCACCACAATCATACTTGTGATCTTGTTCCTCCATCCCCTCAACGTCATGCCTTGCCTTGCAAGTGGGTGTAATGTATCAAATGTCTCTCAAATGGTTCCATTGAACGGTTTATTGTGGTGAATGGTTTTCATCAACAATATGGCATTGACTATTTGGAAACTTTCAGTCCTGTTGTTAAGCATGTTACTGTTTGCATTATTATTTCCCTTGCTTTTTCTCGACAATGGCCCATTCGCCAGCTTGATGCCACTAATGCTTTTCTTCATGGTTATTTGTCTGAAGAGTTTTATATGTGCCAGGCCCGTAGCTTTGAAAACCCTAAATTTCCTCATCATGTTTGTCGCCTTTGGAAGTCTCTCTATGGTCTTAAGCAATCTCCCCGTGCTTGGTACTTCCACTTCTCTGCATTTCTTATTCACTTGGGCTTCATGGCTTCCAAGGCGGATCCTTCCTTATTCATTTTTCATAAAGATGGCAACTTTATCTTCCTTTTGATTTACGTGAATGATATTATTGTTGTTGGTAATGCTTTGTCACAGGTTCAAGCTCTTCTTAAGTCTCTTAACCGTCAATTTGCTATGAAAGATTTGGGGGTTCTCCATTATTTTTTGGGCATTGAGGTAAAGTGTACTTCAGATCTGTTGTGTTTGACTCAAGCCAAATATGCAGCCTATCTTCTTAAAGGGGCCACCTTACATGAGGCTAATCCTTGTCTCACTCCAGTTGCCACTGGCTCTCAACTTCGCTCTCTTCATGGCTCATCTCTCTCCGACCCTACTGAGTATCACAGTCTTGTTGGCGCGCTTCAATATCTCACCCCCATCCATCTGGACATCTCCTTTGCCGTCAACCAAGTTTGTCAATTCATGCATCAACCTACTGGTATTCATTGGAAAGCTGTCAAGCATATTCTCCGTTATGTTCTTGGCACTTCTCATGATGACCTTGTTTTTCGCCCTGGTGACTCTTCCATGATTGCTTTCTCTGATGGTAATCCTGATGATTGTCGTTTTATAGGGGGATATTGTATTTTCTTTTGCTCAATCCTTGTCACGTGGAGCTCCAAGAAGTAGCCCACCGTCTCCCGTTCTCGTACCAAATACGAGTATCGTCAATTGGCTCTCACCGCTATGGAACTCTCATGGATTCAACAACTCTTACAAGAATTACATGTCTCTTTGTCTTCACCTCCTTTGCTTTGGTGTGACAACACAAGCTCTATTGCTCTTGCTTCTAATCCGATCTTTTGTGTGCACACCAAACACATTGCCGTTGATTATCATTATGTCCATGAACTTCTCCTCGCTGGCTCATTGAATGTTAGTTATGTCTCCACCCATACTCAACTAGCTGACATTTTTAGCAAGGGTCTCCTGCGTCCTCGGTTCGCCATTCTCAAATCCAAGCTATTGAGCTCTTCGCACATTAGCTTGTAGGGGGATAATAGAGATGGTGCCGAATCTGCACAAAATCAGCAACTCCAATCTCTATGATTTAGTTTCTCTTTATTGTGATATTTTAATCCCATGTAATTATAGGTAATTGTAACCAAATAGGAATAAACTTGGAGACCAAGTACCCACCACTTGTATAAATATTCTAGTTCTATATGAATACAAATCATCCAATTTCAAACCTAAGTGAATCTCTGAAAATACTGTTATGAGTTTTCTAGTGCTCAAGCTTGTGGGTTTCATCTATTGAGACGTCTCTGTTTTTGACACAATTAAGCCACTTGTGTCAAAAACAAAGAAGAAAGCTTCAACTTCAGGTGATGTTTTCATGGTTCTTATACTTTTATCTTTAAGCTCTTTATTCTTAATTTTTCTTTTTCATTGTTTAGTTTGTAGCTTATATTATTGTAGTAGATGGATGGTTTAAGGTGCTTACATTTAAAAATTCCTAATTTTCTTAAGTGGTCCATATTCTTATGCTTAATTTATCATTATCACAATAAAGATTTTGTGACCCCAATTCATCTTGCATATATATCATAAAATTATTACAGATATATTAATTAATGGATTTTCAATCCAAATTAAGACGTGATACTTAACCAACTAATCAACAGTTGGGATTTGTAGTTATTGACCCTTGCAAAGTATTCATTCTTCAGTTCCTTTTTTCAAAATACTTCAATTGGTACACACAAGAAATAGGCCGATTCATCAGCTGTTTGCGCAATTTCTCGTGGAGTCAAATTCTCATCAGTACGAGTCAAGGGAATGGCATGGCGTTACTCTACCACTGAGTTAAAAGGGCTTGTTTGATTCAATTCCTGAATAAAGCCACTATGAGTTTAGTATATATACTTATTATAATGGATGTACCTATTTGTACAGATATGGTAGAGGGGCGCTGGATCGTACATGGACGGTAGTTGGAGTCTGCGGCTCTCCTAGGGTTCCCTCATCTGGGATCCCTAGGGAAGAGGATCAAGTTGGCCCTTGCGAACAGCTTGATGCACTATCTCCCTTCAACCCTCTGAGCTACAGGCCCCACCCCGTCTCCACTGGATCTGTTCCCAGGAAGAATGAATGTAGGACAGATATTTGAATGCTCGCTCGGGTTAGCAGGGGGTCTGCTAGATAGACATTATCGAATAGCACCTTTTGATGAGAGATATGAACAAGAGGCTTCGAGAAAACAAGTAGTGTTCGATCGATTACGTATTAATCAATATTCGATTGATTGGTCTGAGGTTATCGACAAAAAAGATTTGTCTAAGTCACTTCCTTTCTTTTTGTCCAAGTTAATACGTTCCAGAAAACCCTACTTGAAATACATTTTTTTTTACCTTTACCGACAAAAACCCGCGCTCAAAAATGAGATTTTGAGAAGAGTTGCTCTTTGGAGAGCACAGTACGATGAAAGTTGTAAGCTGGCGGTTCGATCAAAATAAATTGTTGTTTTGACTACTCCCGTAATATGTGGAAGTATCGACGTAATTTCGTAGAGTCATTCGGTCTGAATGCTACATGAAGAACATAAGCCAGATGAAGGAACGGGAAAACCTAGGATGTAGAAGATCATAACTTCCATACCAAGGTTAGCGCGGTTAATAATATCAGCCCAAGTATTAATTACACGACCCTGACTATCAACTACAGATTGATCTTTTTGTTGTGAAGTGCTGAATTTCTGACTTTTTTTTTCAGAAATGCTTCAATGTTATAAACAATCAAACTAATTGTTTCGTAATGCTATAAACAATGACTACTATCAATGTGGAAAAAAAACAGAGCTTAGTTGTAGGATATGGTTCTCTCGCTCGAACCCTAACCCCCTCCATTTCAAACACTTTGCAGCGCCGCAATGAGGGGAGGGGGTCATTTTCCTCCTCCCTTCCTCTCGAGGGTGGCCATGAGATTTTTAAGGCCAAAGTGAGGCCCAAATTCGATACTGTGTATATATTTATAGCTCGACACAAGAAAAATAATTTAAATTCACTTGTGTGTAGAATATTTAAAAATTGAACCTTTTATAACCATAAAAATAAAAAGGTTTAGCCTCAAATGAATAGTGAACAGTGAAGTTGGATGAATATTGACTTAAGTGATTAGTGACTTGGGTGCATATCGCGATATTAATGAAACTGAAAAATACTGAAAATGTTATAAAACTAAAGAAATTGTAGAGAGAATTGAGATAGAGAAAGCATAGAAGTCTGATGTTTTCATTGAGTTATTTTCTGTCTATTACAACGAAGGGAGGAAGCCCACTTATAGGCAAAGTCTGTTGGCTTCCCGTCAATGTGCAATGACATCTTCCAATATGTGGATTCCACTTCCACAATACTTTCATAATGATGTTCTTCATTAATTCCAAATGTGTGGGCTCCATTCAAGACTTTACAACACTCCCCCTTGGAGACCACAAATGGTATGGAATATGCCTTGTTAAATACCTTGCCAGTAAAAATCCAGTGAGACAAAAAACTAGTCGAAGGGAAAAAGAGTACATAACCATTTGTAACATAAAATTCTGTGTATATTAACACACATGCGACATTGCCTCGTTAAAACCTTGCCATGAAAAACCCAATGGGATAAAAACCTGGACAAAGGAAAAAGAGTACAGTGTGTGAAGGTCTTTATTGACAGCACGCTCCCCCTGATGCTTGGCAAAATATCTTTAAGCCATATTGTTGATCATCTTTCTAAATATCATAGCTGGCACTGCTTCTGTGAGTCAATCTTGTAATATTGTTGGACGCTCCTCCTGAAGAATATCTCCCCCTGAAATCTTCATGACTAACTTTCTCCAATAAGCAGCCATTGAAATTTCCAGAGTTCGTATATGGTGTTATGCGGAGATAGCATCAAATATGCCTCACATCATCCCAAAGTGGTGGTGATGGAGTTGAGCTCTATTTGGAAAATATAATATCTGTTCCAGTATACTTCCGAAACATTATTTAAGTGCCCAACGGATAATCCACATAAAAATGCTTCAATACTTTCTTAGTATAAGCAAAAATCTCGTTGGCATAACGCTCCATCTTCAGGTCGAGACAAATATTTCTTGAACTCTTCAGGCGTTTTAATCAATTATCAACTCTTCAGGAGTTGTAATGTGTTGCAACCATATCATAATTAATGTACTCACTGAGGCAATTTATGCATATTAGTATTGAGTACAGATTTTGTGCTTCAGGCACATGCCCTTCAGGGACTTGCTTTATGCAATTGCATTCCTTTCAAGGATTTTGTTTAAAGGGATTAAAGTTTATGACACATTATATAGCTTTAACCTAGCTATTTATACATCTTTAAGGAATTGCTTATGGCGATATGCTCCGTGCATTTAATAACCCTTAAAGATAACATGTTGGTCTCTGTAAATGTGCAAGAAGAAGGCACAATTGCATCTGTAAATATGGAGAAACCCAACATTTCTTGTTTTTGCCAGAAACATTGTGTCATACAAGGTGGGTATATTCCCTTTTTATTCCGAACACCCAAGTATAACTTTCAGTATTAACATCTTTTGGGGTTCGTACTATGGGTTTGTTCTTTCACGTTCATTCTCATCTGTAATGGAATTGCCTCATTCCATTTTGGCCAATGATATTGTCGATATTTAATAATTGAACGTGGTTCCAATCAACGGATAATCCACATAAAAATGCTTCAATACTTTCTTAGTATAAGCAAAAATCTCGTTGACATAACGCTCAATCTTCAGGTCGAGACAAATATTTCTTGAACTCTTCAAGAGTTTTAATCAATTATCAACTCTTTAGGAGTTGTAATGTCGCAACCATATCATAATTAATGTACTCACTAAGGCAATTTATGCATATTAGTATTGAGTAGGGGTGGCAATTTCCGATACGACCCGTTACACGACTCGAAACCCGCACGCTAAAAACACGACACGAACCCGCACGATTAAAAAACGGGTCATTTTCGGGTCAACCCGCTGCTGACCTGTTTATAAACGGGTGGGTTTCGGGTCAACTCGCCAACCCGTTAAAACACCTGTTTAACCCGTTTATTAAACGGGTCGTGTCAACCCGTTTATAACCCAATAACCCATTTAATTAAAAACCTAGAAAAGAAACACAAATATAACATAACATATTCTCTCTCTCATCTATTCTCATTCGAAAACCTAACTCCCAGCCGCCTCCAAATCCTTTCCGAACCAACAACCTTCAATGTGGTTTCTCTATGGCCATTTTGGCTGGATCACACCCAAAAAAGAAAGAAAACTAAATCTTTTTAGGAGATCTGAGATTTGCTTGGGTTCTTGAATTTTCTCCTTTGGGTGCTGTTTTGTGCTCTCAAAGCCTTACAGGTCTGTCTTCGTCTCTCTCTCTCTCTGTGTCTACGTTGTTATTTTCTGTTGGGTTTGGCCTTTGATCTTTATATGCTTACTTACTAATTACTACCATACATGAAAAAACTACTTTTAAAGCTCTGATGCTTTCGTTTGAGTAATGGGTCGATTTGTTTTCTTTCATTTTGTTAGTCCGTTTACTAAGTGAAAGAGCCAGCCATTGTTTTAGACTTGTAAAGGTCAAAAAGTTCTGAATGTTGAGTATTGATCTTGGAAGTAGTTGAGTATTTTTTGAAATTTCTGAATGTTGGGGCTTAAAGGTTGTAGTATTCCCTTTGGCATGAATACCAAAATAATATAACGGTATATTAAATGATCTGAATGCAGAGTAGTTGTAGGAGAACTAGGATCCACAATGAAGAAATTGTTATAATTGTTGTATGCTCTGTTGTTCTTATCAATGCTGAATCAAGGGACTTAATTTCCCTTTATCTAGATTGTAATTTTGATGTCTGCATGGAGCACCTGCTTTGAAAAGGTAGGAAGTCAAATAAGGTTGCCTACACCTACATTTAATGTCCCAAAATTCAGTCGTTGTAATGTACCTTTAAGCAAATAATAATATATTAGAGACTTGTGATTTAAATTGCATGATTTTCATTGCTTCCATATAGTTCATTGACAGTGTTTTGATCAAGTCTGGAAGCTGGAGCTCATCTCATAGTTCAAAAAATATACAATTAGGGGTTCAACGTGCCTAAGTTTTAAATTCTTCCTGTAAAAAAATCTCACATTCATGGTTGTGATTAATATTATGTTTTGCTTTGTTTTTTTGGATTTCTTTGTTTTTTGTTTATCTGTTGACCAACATAAAATTATTATGTTTTATACAGATGGATGTTTTTGAAGATGGAGGTGATAGTTTTGATGGTGAAGCAGCTAGAAGCAATGTGTAAGATTCAGATCCGTCTAACAACAACAATGCAGTTGCTGCAACTCATGTTGGTAAGAGACGTAGAAAACTCACATCACATGTATGGACTCAGTTTGAAATTCTTCCTGTTGATCCAGATAATAAGCTTTATGCGAAGTGCATGAAATGTGGTCATAAGTACTTGTGTGATAGTAAATATGGTACTGGAAATTTAAAGCGTCATCTTGATTCTTGTTTGAAATCCGATACCCGTGATATTGGCCAATTATTATTATTATTATCTAAATCTAAAGGGTCTATCATAACAAGGTCTGCTAAGTTTGATCCCAATAAATTTCGTGAATTACTAGTGATGGCAATTATCAAGCATGAGCTGCCCTTTCAATTTGTTGAGTATGCTGGAATTAGGGATGTGTTTAATTACATTTGTGCTAATATCAAATTGATATCTCGAAATACTGCAAAGGTTGATGTGTTGAGTTTGTACAATAGAGAAAAGGGAGGAAACAAGTATAACTTTCAGTATTAACATCTTTTGGGGTTCGTACTATGGGTTTGTTCTTTCACGTTCATTCTCATCTGTAATGGAATTGCCTCATTCCATTTTGGCCAATGATATTGTCGACATTTAATAATTGAACGTGGTTCCAATCAACACAACCCATTGATGATTTGAGTAGCTACTCCAAAACCAAAAATTATCATTCATCAATTCATGATCCCACCATTCTCATGTGCATGCACATGCATCAATTATAAGCATTTCTTTGCTTTTGGGTACCCAAGCCACTTTAGGGGGCTTTTATTGTCTCTTTCTAGACAAACATCTCTTATAAGA